ACGAGAGAACACAACAACTGGAATTAATTGTTTGTTTGTTCTAACATAATTTGTTAACGTTAGCACGCGGCCTGGGTATCTAGCTTACATCTGAGCCCAAGAGTTAGCGTGTGGAAGTCTGGATGATACTATCAGAGTTAAAGCTACAGTTGGTTCAGTTGGAGTGTCTGTTTGTTTGTCTCTCTGCTGTGACACAAGATAAAACTGAGAAATGGCAAAGTGAAATAACTAAGGTTTTTCTGACTCAATAGAAACTGAGTCATTTATAAATTCTGCTGTGTTCCCCCTTTCAGCCAACATCTCATAACACACTGACACACTCAGAGGTTACTGATAAAACTTTTATTATCATAGGTCAGGTTGTCATTGTTTTGCACACAATACTGCATGTTAACACAACGATAAGTCATGTGTCCCAACACCTGTCTCTCTTTGTTCAACAGAACTGGCAGGCAAAGGGCCAGTATATTTCCTGTAATGACTCCAATCATTAATTATTAATCCTAACCAAACACTAAACTAAAAACTGCCTGTGCAAAAACTGAACATAATAACGAAATGTTCAAGATCAATCAAGAGGGTTGCTAAAATGACCACCACAAGGGGGAAGATTCTTGTTTTGTTTTAAGGAGTGTTAAAATATAGACACAAAAATAGAGAGATCCATTCAGTATCTCACATTTTGATTAACATTTCATTCTATCTTTTCATGTGACAGCACTGAAGGAATGACACTTTGCTAGAATGTAAAGTAGTGAGTGTACATTTGCTGTCCCCTCAAATAACACATCACACAGCCATTAATGTCTAAACCGCTGGCAACAAAAGTGAGGACATGTGAAAATGTCCAAATTGGGCCCAATTAGCCATTTCCCCTCCCCGGTATCATGTAACTCGTTAGTGTTACAAGGTCTCAGGTGTGAATGGGGAGAAGGTGTGTTAAATTTGGTGTCATCGCTCTCACACTCCCTCATACTGGTCACTGGAAGTTCAACTTGAAAAGATATAATCAAACATTTACAAAAATGTGAGGGGTGTATTGACTTTATATAGAGAGAGAGAGAGAGAGAGAGAGTGAGGTCCTGTTCTCCAGGCTAAGCAAGGAAGTCCAGATGTTTTTGTCTGTCGTCACGGACACTATCCAGAATTGCCCAGCATCTATGTTCCTGTCTAGCTTGGTTTGACGACTTGCATGATGTGTGCAAGTCAGAGGATGTTGTCATGAAGTCAGAAAATGCTGGATTTCTCCCTTCAAGTTGGGAGAAAGTCACCCCAAATGAAGGGGTATCTTCAAGATCAAGAGGTAAACTACGGTCCAGCCTTCATCCTTTGACCATGAGTTGTGGGTGGTGACCTAAAGAATAAGACTGCAGAAACAAGTGGCCCAAAGTAGTAACCGTTCTGTCTGGAGTTTAGGCATCTGCAAGAAGCTTGAATTAGAACCATCACCCAGAATTTGTTTGAGGGATAACCTATTATCCTATTTGAGACAAAAGTAGCTCCACTGTTGTTTCCTCATTAAACTGAAAATAAAAAGGTCTTCACTTAAGAATCAACAGAAAAAGCAGACAGAAAGATGTTAACAGTGTGAAAACCAAAAGAAAGTGAAACAGTTCTTCAAAGATTCAAAGAGAGATGAGCAGGTGTTGTGGCACAAAGTGACAAAAATCTATCATCTTAGTCTAGAAATCTCTCCAAAGATACTTGTGCTTTTAAATCTACCCACACATTTTCGTTTACATGTGAACATGCTTGAGAGTAGAACAGCCCCATCATCGGGAACATTGTAAACGTCATTATTACTCATAATTTTCACTACCGGGAAACAGAAACCACAAGGACCGAGGAGTCCGTCATGGAGATTTGCATGCAAAACAACAGTTCATGCATCTATCTCGCCTTTAGAAACAAACAGTAGAGAATGCAGACGTCTGTGAAGGCAGCTTGCTTGTTCATCTGGCAGAGATCCAAAATGCTTTACAACATACGAACCTTACGAAAATTAGCAAAATCTCCATAAACTCTTATAAAAACAAACCAGTTGGGGGGTCATACATTCCTTCATCGGCTGTTTCCCCACCCGTCATGCTGTCTGCAGGGAAGCAGCGTCTGAATTGGTCAGTGTTGTGTGTGTGCTTTTCACGTCCATTAAAAACACTCCTGAATGTTACATTCAGCTCGGCCTCTGTAGGCCCTGCATGCACAGCGGATGCTAAAGGTGCTACAGTTAGCTTTGTTTTTTACATGAAACTTAAGTTAGACAACACTGAGATGAGATGATGTAGGTACTTGTAGTGCTACTGTTCCTCATTTCCCTTAAACCTCTTTACTTCCTATGTGTCTACAGTGGTGTGAAAAAGTGTTCGCCCCCTTCCTGATTTCTTTTAATGTTTTTCACACTGAAATGTTTCAGATCATCAAACAATTTGAAATATTACAACAACACGAGTAAACATTAAATGCAGTTTTTAAATGAAAGTTTTTATAATTAAAGGAGACCTATTAAACTGCTTTTCCAGTCCTATATTGTAGTTCTGTGACTCCTGTATGGCAGCTTTGCATGATTCAAAGTTCAAAAAGTTCAAAGTTTTTTTTCTTATGCTGATTCTTCATGCAGGCCTTCATTTCAGCCTCTGTCTAAAACAAGCTGTAGATGCTCCTGTCTCTTTAAGACCCCCCTCTCAAAGCCCACTGTCTTCTGATTGGCCAAGACCTGATGCATGTTACCAGGCTGTTGTGGTTGCTGGGAGGAACAGGCAGACTGAGCGTTGCTGTGCCGTTATTGTGGGAGCACATGACCATATATGGAACAGCGGCTCCGTCTGGCTCCGTATTACATAGAACGGAGGGTTCAGAATAGGAGGAAACCTGAGGTTTTTGCTCACAGTGATTTCTTAAATGCTTTAACCTAACATTATTTGAAGCTTTGGCCATGTTTAACATGAACACCCAACATTATAACATTGTAGATAAGTAATAAAATGTGGAAAAGCATAATATGTCTCCCTGCAGGGGGAAAAAATCCAAACCTACATGGCCCTCTATGAAAAAGTGATTGCCCCCCTCCCCCCATTGAAACATAAATCAACTGTGGTTTATCACATCTTAGGAAAGCTGAGTTCAATTTCTCTAGCCACACCCAGGCTCGATTACTGCCACACCTGTTCTCAGTCAAGAAATCCCTTAGATAGGACCTGCCTGACAAAGTGAAGTAGACCGAAAGTTCCTCAAAAGCTATTCAGAAATACAAATGAGAAACAGAGTAATTGAGATTTATCAGTCAGGAAAAGGTTATAAGCCATTTCTAAAGCTTTGGGACTCCAGCAAACCACAGTGAGAGTCATTATCCACAAATGGTGAAAACACGGAACAGAGCCCCAAGAGCGCAGTGAAGACCATCCAAGTGGTCACAAAAAAAACCACAACAACGTCCAAAGAACTGCAAGCTTCACTTGCCTCAGTTAAGGTCAGTGTTCATGACTCCTCCAAGAAAGAGACCGGGGAGAAACAGCCTGCATAGCAGAGTTCCAAGACAAAAACCACTGCTGAGCAAAAAGAACATAAAGGCTTGTCTCAGTTTTGCCAGAAAACATCTTGATGATCCCCAAGACTTTTGGGAAAACACTCTGTGGACTGATGAGACAAAAGTTGAACTTTTTGGAAGGTGTGTGTCCCATTACGTCTGGTGTAAAAGTAACAGCATTTCAGAAAAGGAACATCATACCAACAGTAAGATATGGTGGTGGCAGTGTGATGGTATGGGGCTGCTTTTGCTGCTTCAAGACCTGGAAGACTTGCTGTGGTAAATGGAACCATGAAATCTGCTGTCTACCAAAAAATCTTGAAGGAGAATGTCCGGCCATCTGTTCGTAACCTCAAGCTTAAGCACACTTGGGTTCTGCAGCAGGACAATGATCCAAAACATACCAGCAAGTCCACCTCTGAATGGCTTAAGAAAAACAAAATGAAGACTTCGGAGTGGCCCAGTCAAAGTCCTGACCACAATCCATTTGAGATGTTGTGGCATGACCTTAAAAAAGCGGTTAAGGCTCGAAAACCCTCCTATGTGGCTGAATTACAACTTTGTAGAGATGAGTGGTCCAAAAGTCCTCCACAGTGCTGTAAAAGACTCACTGACAGTTATCACAAACGTTTGATTGCACTTGTTGCTGCTAAGGGTGGCCCAACCAGTTATTAGGTTTAGGGGGCAATCACTTTTTCACACAGGGCCATGTGGGTTAGGATTTTTTACCCCCTTAATAATAAAACCTTCATTTAAAAACTGCATTTTGTGTTATCTTTGTCTAATATTTCAATTTGTTTAATGATCTGAAACACTTGTGTGACAAACGTAAAAATAAGAACGTTCACAGCTTAAGATGGTGGTTGTCAGTGTTCCTGGTCTAACATAACAAGAACAGTGCCGTAGGCTTGGTGATGTAGTGACTTCTTGCAGTCCTGGTTGGCGAGCTACAAGTTTACCAAACTAGCTGGCTTGGTCACTACCTCAACAAAACGTTTACTCAAGAGATTACACCATACATTTTGGTAGTTTATACTATGTGGAGTGTAAATTTTGGATGGTGTAATGCAGCTAACATAATGGCTTCTTCTGTTTTGGACTCCCTGTCAAGACGGTTTCTATAACATGTGTGCCTGTTTGCTTCACAAATGTCTACTACACAAAAATTGTGCATAAATTTACTTTCCACTGATTGTGGCAATTCCACTGAAATGATGTGATTTTGATCTAAAGTGTTGCTGACATAAATGCTGATATGACCCAGCCGTTACTGTAAACACAAAAGAAAGAGAAACACCAACACTAGCTTCTTAAATATATATCAAAAGTAGCGCTACATAGCTAACGGATCAGCTTGCAGAACAGTTTGAAATGAAAAACAATATCCTGCTGGTTGTTTTGAGGGTGAGAAACGAATCATCTAGTATGATTTACAAGGAGACTCCTGTGTTTCTGTGTTCATGGTGAAACACATTGCCAACGTACAATGTGAATTTAAAACACCCCTGGCTTTCTGGTTTTCTATGTAAGCCCACATACTGGCAGCATGTCCACTGTGTGCAACAAGCACTGTATGGTGCACAGTGAGAGCATCCTGAATAACATCTTCTTCACCCGTTTCCCTACTATTTTTAAACAATGATGACAGGAAATAAAACGCCTTCTACCTGCTTTGTACCATAAATCAATCCAGCAAAGTCCAACCTGTAAAATCCATCCCAATGTAAAATTCAGTGTAGAGACTGACTCTTGTAGTACCTTTAGCATCCATGTCAACAAAGAACAAAAGACAGTAAACATTTTTCTCAATCCAGGTGAGGTTGTGCTGTTCGGTGGCAGCTGTGGAGGCGGTGCTCAGGGGCCGAACTGCCTGGAAGACTGGTACTCACTGGGCACTTTGGGCTTGATGCCCTTGCTATTGTAGTAGTCAACCACCTGGTTGGGCACCTCTGCCAACACGCTCTTAGCCAGAGCAGCTGGAGACGCCTGGAGAGGAGGAGGAGACAGAAGAAACATCAATCACACTCTACATGTGATACAAACTCATCTACAGACAGGCTGCACGTGGAAGTGTTAAAGAACCATCATGGTGTTTTTGCATTTTACCCCTAATTTACGATGAATCATCTTTACTTCACATTCACTGAACATGTTCCATTCATTCATCAGGTTTTAGATTGACTTTCTTCTTTCCTAACCCTAACCACTGGTCTCAGGTCATCACTGCATGTCGTGAAAGTCAAATTGTTTTTACAATTTTTAGAAATCCAACTGCCAGTTCCACGCTGACCAGACAGCAACTGACTAGACAAATTTTGTTGCCTATCTTTTCTTATTCAGCCTACGTTTTTTTTCTTATTTGACATGGTATTTTACATATGGACAATGTGGAGGGCTTGTTAAATATGGTCAAAGTAGTCACAGTCTACCAGGCCTTTAAAAATGTCAGGCGTGTACAAGAGAGAGAGCAATCAAGACGAGTCAGGAGGAGACTGTGGAGTAAACCTTGCCCGTTTTGCGCATTTACTGACCATGGTTACTCGACTCATTGCCAGAAGAAAAGAAAAAAACTTCCCATGACTTCATAAGAATCTCAATTGCAAACATTATGTTGAGATGATGTTGCCAATGATTAAATTTGTTTATTTACACAATTAAAATTTGACTACTGCCAGGTCCTGTTGTTTTGCCTGATTAAATGACTTACATATTCTGTTGAACTGTCTGTTATGTCTTGTGTCCAATATGACCGGTGTCTCTTTCACACCGGACCTATTAGCACTTATTAGGATTAGTTGGTTGTTATTGATCCTATAAGTGGTATGTTACCTTATATCCACTTAATTTTGTATTATTATTGCTTATTAATTCCCCTGTTTTGTAAGTTTGGGGTTATCCTTTGTTTATGTATGGAAAGACATCTCTCAAGCCAAATCCCCTGCATTTTAGCTGTAGAGTTCTGTTTGATATTGCTCAGACATGGACTGTTTGTTTGTCTTTGTTCTTGTTTGTCTGGTTGCTCTCACCATTTTCCCCCTTCACCCTCACTGCAGCCTCTGGCTTACTGATATATTTCAACCTCTATCTTATATTATAAACATTAATTTGGCTAAAGGGTTAAAGGTTATTGACCTCAATATCAGGAGCCTTACCTTAAAAAATGATCTCCTTAGAGCATGGGTTACTCTTTATGTACCTAGTAATATCACCATTTCTGAAACATGGTTACGCAGTAAAATTACTGGCGAGGAAGTAGAAATCGATAATTACGTTCTGTATAGAGCTGATCAGGGCCGTTAAATAAGAGAGTTACGACATTTATTTATTTATCGGTAAATATTAACAAAATATGACACTGATTACTGAGTTGACACTTACATTACATACATATACTAACATTTGTTCTGGAGAGTGGTGGAGACACAGATTTAATCAGTTTTTGTTCCCATAACGTAACGTTACATTTACAGCAGTGACTTAATTTGCAGCAGTTGTCGGCAAATATTAATGCATAATGTGCATTGATTAAGATGTTGACTACACTTATAGTTAGTGTATTCTATCCTTGTATCTGGCTGTTGTGCTTTCTCTTGCCATGGTGTATCAGTATGACTGACAGTAAACTGTCTTCTCTTACCTTATAAACTGAGTTAGGCTGTTTCCACCTACATATTGAATGTATGATCATTAGCACCTGTTTTGTTTGTTTAATCACCTGATGATATGCCTTACAAAATCCACGAGTTCCACCAAACTTAAATTTTTCTTCTGTCCATTCACTTTGTATTTTGTTTTATAACTAATAACATGTCTATTTTTAACTTACTGTATACTGTGTGTATTGACAAATTGTATTTTGATGCTTTGGAAACACTGTTCTTAAAACCTTCATGCCAATGAAGACCTTTAAATTTAATTACATTCTTTTCCTGATAATTGGAGGGAAGGGGGGGGGGCTGCTCCCATAAGGTATAATAAATTACAGTATGGATATATTTTTTCTCATGCTTCTATTGTCATAATTACTGACATTCTCATTTTATGTTAAGACACATTCACATACACAACAAATAAATATCAATGAATGCCAGAAGCTGTTTAATTTAAGTCCACAAAGAAGTTTTAAACAGTGCAAAATATACAAGGCAACCAATTGCATTCAACAATACATTTTATTATATTTTATATCCAGGTAGGTAAGTTTTTCTTGAATGTGATGTCTTCAAAGAAACAGTTTAATTCTCACATCCTGCAAGACCAGACAGGAGGCTGTATTTCATGCCAGATGTCCCACATCTGGTTCAGAACTTGAAGAGTGTCCTGGTTGGTGGACAGACATTTCTGCAAGCTCCATCAGCCTGGTCATCGCTCAAAATCCGTCCTGCTGAAAACAAACAAAACAACAACAACACACACACATAGTTGATTTTGGACGGCCTTACAAATTAAATCTCAGCTGTTTGACAGTTGGAACTTGAGGTTCACTTTATCTAGGTATAGATATATCAGGTGTTCATACACCTGAAACAAACGCCTATTCATACATTCCTTTACACACAAGGGACTGTCAGATTAAAGTTCAATGTGTCACCAGCAGTGTACATGTGCTACTTTCATCAGAATTCTGAATCACTACAGTATCACATTTTTACCTTTATTAGTCACAGGGAGCCAATAACATGAGGAGTTGTGTGCAAAATAATTTATTGTATTCTATCTAACAGACGTCCAAAATATGACCTCGGTCAACATATGCCACTGATCTTATCACCCGTTACTGACGCACTGTCTAACAAACACTGTGTGTAATGACTGAATTAACCAAGGAACAACCTCGCTAGATACAAGCTAGCCATGTTATCTAGCTGAGACAGCTAACTTACCGTTCATCGTAATCACGTGTAACGTTACTACTACAGCGGCAACAAAGTGCTGCTATACTGAGTTACAACAAATCTAATAACCAAAGATAAACGATGTATGCTAACTAATAACTTTACATTTAAGGTAAATATCGGCAAACAGACATCTTGGTATGGTAACTTTAGCTGGTTTAAGTGTTAACGTTACTCACGTTAACATTAGCTAGCTGCAATTATATAATCTAACTTCCGATAAACCTTGACTAAAGCTGGCGACATAAAATACCACTATTGACTAGATTCATGAGGACAGCTAATGAGTTAAAATGTCAACAAATGCAGTAATTTGATCAACTTACCAGGCAGCGTACTTCAGAAACACTGAAATGAACGGGGCTCGGTGCTGGAACTATCGGCTGCCCCATGACGCGCGTTACTTCTGCATTCCACTGTTCCAACAGAAATCAATAGGAGTGTCGTAACTCTCTTATTTAACGGCCCTGGAGCTGATAGGCCGACTAGAAGAGGTGGGGTAGTTATATATGTTGCTTTAAATTTAATTTTGAATGTCTTTTTATCAATATTATTTTTCATGAAAATAAACATTTAACTATTGGAACGATTTACAGGCCGCCCTCTGCTCCGACTGATTCTACAAATTGTATTTTGTCAACTGTTAATTCTCTTGGAAGGCTAAATGAAATGATTATCCTGAGTGACTTTAATAGCAACTGGCAAGATCGTTCCTCCTCTGTGGAAAAAAACTTTACTCTTAAATGTCACTCAATTAATTAATTAATGAACCAACTAGAGTGGTCCTCATCCGTACTGGATTGGATTCTTGTCCTGATAGGATAATTACTTCAGGTGTTTTGTCTGACTGTTTCAGTGACCATTCCGTCATATTTTGTGTCTGGAAAATTAAAATCCCTCCCCCCAAATATATTAGAAGACAATGTAAAAATATTAATGTTAATCATTTTATACACAAATACTTTGCATCAGTTGGGATAGGTTTCAGTTAATTCCATATGTTGAAGATGCATGGAAATTTTTCTATTCTGATGATGCTAAAGTAATTGACAAACATGCAACATTAGAACGATTAGTCAAAGGTAGACATTTGCCATGGATCAGCTCACTTCTGATTAGTCTCTTTAAACAAAGGGATAAAGCCTGGGCTAAATATCACTCTTCTTTAAATGCCACAGATTGGGAAGCTTACAGATATCTCAGGAACTTCTGTAAGACCAAGACAAGGAATGCAAAATCTACTTTTTATAAAGATAACTTTTCACAGGACTTTCAAAATCCGAGAAAATTCTGGAATCATTTGAACCGTGTACTCAATAAAAATAATAAAAACTCGGTGAATCAAATACAAAGTGATAATACCATTTCAGATCCTTTACTTATTTCTAGTGCTTTCAATCTGCATTTTTCTTTGATTAGTAGTTCAAAAATCGTAAACTCCCATGATACCGCTAGCAATGTACACACTTGCTGATTTATTCATCCTGTCCTTTTCTACTTTACTGTTCCCTCAATTTGGAAATGTGCTCGAGTTACTCTTCTGCTCAAAGGTGGAGACCCATCTGATGTGAACAACTACAGTCCAATTTCTATTATCTGTTCTATTGCCAAAATCTTTGAGAAATTAATTTTTAATCAATTATCACAATATCTGAATCAGTACATTATCTTATCCTCTAACCAGTCTGGCTTTAGAGCGGATTTTTCAACCACTGCAGCTCTGTTAAAGTTCACTAATGATGAATTATCAGCATTTGTTGTGGTGCTATCTTTATTGACCTTCCCAAGGCATTTGATATGGTTGATCACTACCTGCTGCTTGATAGGCTTTATTCCATTGGTTTGCATCAAAATGTCCTACTCTGATGCCTCCCATGAAGATGAGCATTAAACCAGTGTGTTGTTAAAAATGGTTCCCATTATTATCTCCTTGAAAGGAGCCAGTTCAGGTGGTTCAGGAGGTGGTTCAGGCAACGGATCAGGACTCCTCCTGGACATCTCCCTGTGGAGGTTTGTCCAACTGGGAGGAGACCCCGAAGCAGGCCTAGAACATACTGGAGGAATTATATATAGCACCAGGCCTGGGAGCAGACAGAGGAGGACGTGGCAGACAGAAGGACCTCTGGATTACCTTACTTATAATGGGATGGGATTCGCCCCAGAGGAGGATTGTTACTGACCCAGCTGATCTTTCCACTAGCACAATGAACAGAATGTCAAACACAATATCAGAATCTATCAGGCAGATAGCTATACTGTTTCCTGATCCCATTCTTGCTCCCCAGAGGAGGAATCCTTTAGATTTTACACTACTGGATGCACGCGCAGCCAGGGGGCAAATACGCTTCGGTAGCCGGTCAGAAGACTGTAGTCAACCACTGTTACCAACGTAGATTTTGCATAGTTTGTAAATTCTTTTTGACTCAATAATAAACTGCCATTTCAGAGTTGGATCTGTTTGTTTGTGTTTCATTTTGCATATTAATAGAACATGTGTGGCCGCGCTGCAGGTTTGCGAAACCGGACTTAATGTTGTTTAAGTCAGCTGCTAGCCAAAAAGCTAAAGGAAGCGTTCTTTCCACAGCTGTAAGTGCTGCCATTAGGCCTAACTTAACTGTGTCACACTCACAGATGCAAAGAACATTGTCTTCCGTAAACGTTGTGAGACAAGCAAAAAGCTTTCAACCGCAAACAATTTTGTATTGAAGCATCTGCTAAGAAACGTGAAACTTAGTGTGTAGAAAGAAACTCCGGCAGCTGACGTTACTGCCAGGGAAGCGTCCACTCGGCAGGACAGAGTGGCGCTAAACGACGTTTTATGTCATGTAAAAGATAAAAATGAATACTTGTGCAAAACATGTTTATTTTCTTTATCTCAGACAGTGGCGTTAAAAAGGTTTCGTAAAAATGATACTGTTACGTCTGTGGTCGTAATTTGTGAACTTCCATATAGGCCTATGTTCAGTGTTATTGCCACCTATTCTGTTTCTTATGTAAATATGTCTGTGCACAACATCAGTGTGATTGGTGGATTCTGTCTCTGCTCGGCAGGGGATTGGTGGTGGCAGTTCCAGCTCGTGGCAGATGATTGGCTGCTACTTAAGCAGACAAAATGGCGGAGGGCATCTTGGCATCTTCCTCCTCTCCTAACAGGCCACAGTCTGATCTTGTTTAAGTAGGGGTGGGCCGCCAATTCTGTTTCTCTTCTTTTTCTCTTGTTTATTATAGTCAGGTAGGTCGGTTTTGTTTGTTTGATAGGTTAGTATCGATTTCTCATCCTGAAGTAAAATAGTTTGTCACTACTTGTTTCAGTCTGTTATAAATAAATTCACAATTCCTTATTTTTTAATAGTCTACGTTGTGTTCATGTGGCTCCTTAAGACTTGGGGAAGATGGGGTAGTTTCATCTGGGCCCCTAGACCGGGCGTAACAATACTCATTGTTGCTGTTATGCCTTTTCACAACAAAAATGTTTGCTTACTGTTTTCCAAATTTCCAGCTGTTATTTCTCTGGACAGCTCTGGAAATGGTTTCTGCTCACAAAACATTGACCGTAATGGTTAGAAATAACTTTAAATTGAAGAAAGAAATCAAACTGGATCATTAAAAAAGATTAGCAGCACAATTATAGACCTTCAAATATAAGCAAGGGTGGAAAAAATCTGTAGAGTGAAAATTATAGAAGGTTAGAATATACTGTTACAGCGCTAAAGGTGCAAGTGGTGAAAATTAGGGTGCACCTAAATTTTGTGGTGGTGCACTTAAACAAAAAATTATATCATGATGCAGATTATATGGCATATACATTTTATTTATTGTTTAAAGTCGGTTAAAGTTAAAACATCCGTGTTTTAAAACCTGAATTCTACTTCTTTGTTGGAGAAATCTCAGTAATTGTCTGAAGGAGCGTCACAGCTGCTCATCTCTGCCTCGTTCTGCTGCTGCCAAATGAAAATTGCTTCCATTTTGGGCCAAAGACAGAACCTCCCATTCATCACACAGATTAAACCCGGGAGAGAAAATATATCCAGTGACTCCAAACCAGGAAGATAAATCTCCACTGTATTTCACTTTACAGTCTGTAACCTTCGGACTTGGTAAAGGCTGAAAATTCCCTTCAGAGAGAAACAGTTTTTCCACTTAAGATTGGTTGGCAGATTGCCACTCCATCTTTTTTCCTAAAGAGTGAAAACTAATTTCTTCAATAACTTCACTCCCTCTCCTCTCATCCTCCTCACTTCCTATATTCTCTGATCCAGACTGAAATCATTCTCTTCTTCCTCACGCTTCAGTCATCAACTGTTACTGTGGGGTCACACGCAGTTATATATACACACTTTATCACTTTCTACCAAGAAGAGATCTTTCAAATTAACACACCATCTGGTGCCCACGAGGTTTTCAGCTTCTCGAGTACAGAGAATATGAACCGCTAAATGTGTTTGTAATGATACCTTTCTTTACACCGCAAACAACAACAACAACAACAAGTGTTCTCCAACAACCGAAGAACTGAGTTAGGATCAGATCTGCAAACTCCTCACAGCTGAGTTTTAAAAAATCATCATCAGTAAGTTGGTATGGAAATCCTGGGAAATGTTACTTGGCGCTAAAACTAAATCAGGAAATGATTCTTTAAGCCGCTTCCCTAACAGCAAACTCCACCTCCCACTGATGTTGGTGTTTTCTCTGGGTCATAAACTTCTGGACCTTGGTAAGTTCATCGTAATTAATTCAGTTTGAAAGGTCATCCTACAGCATATCAGCTTTCCATTGAAAGCTCTCATGGAGGCTTTTATTGTGAAGAAGCTACAGGAAATGTAATATTTTTGTCACTGAGGTTAGCAGTAACTTCAATACTTCCAGTACAAGGAACGGACATTTTCATTATCGACACGTCGCCTACATCTTTCTGTTGTCTTCTAGTCTGGTTTTGGGAGGAGATGAGATTTGTCATTTCCCACTATGCCTTAGTTTGCTTGTGAGAAGAGGTAACAACTGTCATATTCATGGTCGCTGCAGTAAAAACATATCTACCGTAGAAAGAGGCAGCATCATACAGCATTTTAACATCTCTGTGGGATATGGGTGAAATCTGGCACATTACACATATTTTTTATTGTTAATCGTTGTTGTTCTGTATTTTATATTTTGTCAATTTATATATTTATTTACACAATATTCTCTTCCGTTGCAACACGTCTGCACAACACAAACCTGAGTAATGCACATGTAAATATCTGCCACATTGTTCTTTCTCTGCAAATAGTTGTATTATTTTTCTCTATTCTTTTATTATTCTTATATAACTTGCATTGGTTTATTCCATATTAAAATATTTCTACATGTATTTATGTTTGTCTACGTGTAGCACCTTATCACCAAAGCAAATTCCTCATATGTGTAAAACACTACTTGGCAATAAAGCTCCTTCTGATTCTGATCAGTAACACAATGTTAACATGCTATCGAATGAAATGCAGATGTATGCACTGTGTTCCACTGTTTTGCATTACTTCAGATAAAACCATTCAAATTTTAACGCAAAAAGGCCAAATTACCACTGTACAGTTCCAAGTTGATAAACAATGTTGACTGAATGCTTAGCCCCGTTTTAAGCTTTTATTTCTTGTTATTCTGAAACATAGACCCCCGGGATTAGAAGCGAAAAAGGTGGTGACTACTGTTCAAGACAAATCTCGGCATTACCCCTAATTAGCTGGAGGAAGTTCTTATACAGTCAGTCGCCAGTTTATTGGGTACACCGAGCTAAAACGAATGCAGTCTAATACCCAAGTCCTGCAATAAATTCTACCTCATTAAGGTTCAATTTATGCTGGAATAGTTTTAGGTGTTGATTCAACTGTTTAGTCATTTTGGTGTGATTGATGTGCACCGCATAATATCCAAGGAGGGTTAAAATCTTCATCCAAGAGGCTTCTTCAGTTCTGATGAAACAAATTCAAGTATCTTTAACTAAATCCAGATGCCCTTGATTTTAACCCACCTTGGATAACTATGACCAGGATGACTCCACAGACATTTCACATTATATTGAGAAGTTTAGATCGTGTAAAGACTAAATATAAGAAACACTACTCAGTAAAACAGTATACAGTTCATACAGCACCATTAACTACATCCTCAAATGGTCATACAGTTGAATTGTTATTTGCAGTTTTGGTGTATTAGACTTTTATTATCGCTAATTTTAGCTAGCTATGCCTAATAAACTGGCAACTGAGTGTACGACATATAAATAGCACAACAATAGCAAACTATTGTTGCGTCACTGAATAATGAGAACGAAATCTTGTACATAGGAAACAATAAAGGCCCTAAAATCGTGCTTTGGGGAACTCCTCAGCAGGAAGGAACTAGAGAAGCTCACTCCTCTGCAGGAGAATGTACTTCTGTGTTTTTTATTTTAAGCCCGTTGGACTCACATGTTTGAAGTTGCGGAAGGGGACAAACTGGACGATGTCCCGGAGGACGGGCTCTCCTTTGGGCGATCGCAGGATCCCGTCGTCACCGTCTAGCATCTGCATGTCGCTGAAGTCTGCGTTCCCAATCCCGACGATGATGACAGACATAGGGAGGTGGGAGGCCTGGACGATGGCCTCCCTCGTGTCGGCCATGTCGGTGATGACGCCGTCCGTCAATATCAGTAGGATGAAGTATTGCTGAGAGACGGAGAATAAAAACACTGATCAGACTTTTCTCCCAAGTTCACTTGTCTGTCAGTTCAGTTCGTCACTCAAACTGTGTCAGTAAATTTTATTCTAGTTAGTTCTCAGGTTGTTTTTTTAATCTTAACATCTTCAAAAAGACACGTTATTCTTGAATAACCAGACAATCTGGAAAATCTGACCAAAGATATTTCAATGCCTGCCCTCTTCCTGCCCCTGCATAACATTTTGATTTGGATATCCTTAGATCCCAGGTAGAATCCAGTTGTTGGTTTCAATCCAGACCAGTTTGGTGTCCGCATCAAAGCAACAAACTTTCCCTCCTCAACAATGACTGCCAGGGTGCTGCTGAGTAAGTTAGACAGGTCCAGGTTTGGATGACAGTTCCTCACCATGGCCTCTTTGGTGTGGACCTCCTGCGAGGCGGAGTTGGCCACCTTCTGGATGATGGGGGCAATGTTGGTGGGACCATAGAGCTGCAGCTTGGGGAGGCAGGCCTGGTAGGCCTCCACCACACCCTGGATACCTGAAAGGACACAAAAAAATATGTGAATCAGTGTCAGGAAGTACAAAAAATGAATGCACTACCTAAGGAAACACAATGATTTACGGTTTCAGTGATGAAAGTATATCTGAGGTAGGCCTACATGTACTTTACTGGGGTATTTCCGCTTTATACTTCTACTCCACCACATCTCAGAGTGAAATACTGTTCTTTTTACTTCACTACATGTTACTGAAGTAAAGGATCTGAATACTTCTTACACCACTGCCTCGTTTTGAGTTCTCCTGAACATTCACTACATTTTCCCGCAGGTTCCTGAACATTAAATCCTTTTAAACAGAGAAAATTGCTCCAACTTTTCCTCCAAAAACACCACCAGCGAGACTCTGCAGGCTCGAGAGGACCGGTCAAGTTCATTCTCTGGATGTGTTTAGAGGCATCCCAGCATGCCCGGAGGCAGCAGTGATGTGATTTAATCTCTGAAGGTCACCGAGAACACCATCTCCGTCACACACACTCTGAGTCTTAATTAAGAGTGTCGGTGTGGAAGTGCCTCTCTGAGCCAATCAGTGACCTTTAGCAGAGACCTTAACAGAGTCTCTCTCTCTCTGACCTAATAAGCAATGAGGATTATTGTTGGATTTTTTTACAGTAGACAAGTTCATCACCAGCTCTTCCTGTAGTCATCTGGGTTTACAGAAAAGAAAAGACTGAACAGCAGTTTGTCAACAAGACTGTAATGTGCTTTTCCTTGTCCATTCCTTTTTCTATATACAGTACTGTGCAGTGTTTGCCCTACATGCATTCAGGAGCGACGGTGCACCGCTGCTGAATTATGACCGCTGCTACTAAAACTTCTAAAACTATTAAATCAATGTCCAACGAGGGTTAAAATGAAGGGCAACTGGACTTGGTTGAAGCTACTGGAAGACGTTTCGTCCCTTATCCAAAGGACTTCTTCAGTTCTGACTGACTGGCAGGGAAACTCAGCTATTTAACCTCAGTGGGGTCGTTATCCCGGGTCATCGATACCGCTGGTTCGTTAGTGTTCCTTGTTGCTGTGACGACAGTCGTTACAGTCATTGAGACTACCTGAGGCCAAGACTGAACGACCATCGTTGGTATCTTCACCTGAGGCCAATAGGTTACGTTTGTTGAGTTTCCTGGGAAGTGATGAAAGGACAGCATTGTAAGTGGGGGATAAGTGGTGGCGTAGACCCCCTCCCCTGTTCAATGACGGCTTCTCAACCCTGGTGTAGATGCTTCCTTGACACCTCTTTCAAACCATCCATCTTCTCTGTCTAAAATGTGCACCTGGTGGTCCTCAAACGAGTGTCCTCTGTCCTTCAGATGTAAGTAGACTGCAGAGTCTTGACCTGAGGACCTCATCACTTCCCAGGAAACTCAACAAACGTAACCTATTGGCCTCAGGTGAAGATACCAACGATGGTCGTTCAGTCTTGGCCTCAGGTAGTCTCAATGACTGTAACGACTGTCGTCACAGCAACAAGGAACACTAACGAACCAGCGGTATCGATGACCCGGGATAACGACCCCACTGAGGTTAAATAGCTGAGTTTCCCTGCCAGTCAGTCAGAACTGAAGAAGTCCTTTGGATAAGGGACGAAACGTCTTCCAGTAGCTTCTACCAAGTCCAGTTGCCCTTCATTTTAACCCTCGTTGGATAACTATGACCTGGATGACTGAGAATCTTCATAGACATATTAAATCAATGCTCTACTAATTTTCACTCCCACACTATGCGAGTACGGTACCACTCGTCGCTCGGCTCACTTCCGCTCCTCATTCTTCAAAGAACATCTACGTGACAGGTGGTGCTATAAGAGCAGCGTAACTCTGAATCAGGAGGTGCGTAGCGACTGTTTGACTGTCCGAGCGGCAGAACGCGAGCGGAGAAAAATATTCTGGCAGTAAATGTATGATGTCTGTTAGTGTGTCGGCTTCTCAAGACCAAGAAAAGTCTGTTGTTTCCCAGCTGCTGGAAAAGTGAAGCCGGTTAGCGCTAAGTTAGCTACATCTCCCCTTCAGACTGAGCTGAGCAGGAAAGCTTCTACAGCAGCTGCGTCTTTTGGCTGCTATGTAACTGATCATCAGGTACAAACTGAGACTAAACCGGTGCAGCCTGCAGCTCCGTCCTGCACAGACGGGTTCATCCTAAATTATTTTTCAGTTTTCAGAAAACTGAAAGTGGTTTTGGAACAGAAAGGACGGAGGTGACCGGAGGAGCTGAGGTTAGTAAAGCTAATTAGTGATGCTAACTCGTCCTTTTAAGCTGATGAGGAGACGTTTCTGTTTGGATTTTAATGTGCAAATAAAATGCACCTCAGAAGGGAGGAGGTTTCTGATGCTGCCTGTTTTTTATAATAATGTCTACAGATAAATGTCAGAAGCTGTAAAATGAAGACACAAAAAGCAAACATGAACAGTCGTGTCTATAATGATTCTGAGGTCACATTAACAAGGTTTTAGGGGGCGACGCCCAAAACATGCTGTGCCATCACTGTAAAATCACTGTGGAGCAACAGAACCAACCAGATTACTTTCTCCAGATCTGAAGGTTGGAGTTCCTCCAGCAGGCTGATCTTTGGCTGTTGGTTATTTATTATCTGCTACAGCTTTTGAAGTGAAATAACGGGAGCTTTTTGTGGTCGTCCCATTCTGCTGACACTGCATTAACCGGCGTTGGCCTCAAGGTTACTATTGGCATAGAATTAGCTGCTATGTCCAGTTATGCAACACGTCCTCATACCTAAATGACAAAATAGGTTGATGAAGTGAAGTGTCCCAAAACAATATGTGTTAACATTATGTGAGTTGTATTTTTTCCCTGTGTGTTTCTGGTTTTTGCCATCGTTTCATATATTTTTCTATTTGCCTCTGTTTCTCTCGTTCCTTGTCTTGTTATTTATGTCTTGTCTCTTATCTTAGATCTGGGCTTTACTTCATGTTTAGTGTACTTCTGTGTTTTATTATTTTGATCTGTGTCTTAGTACTTAGTCTTATGTCTCCATGTTTTAGTGTAGTCCTGTCTCCTGTTTGGTCCCGTCTCGGTCCTTTTCCATGTTTTGTGTTTTACTTTGGTAGATCTGTCCTGGTATGTTGCCATGAACTTTTCCCTACGGTTTCAGTTTGGATTACTTTTGACTGGACTCTTTCCTTGTGCCTGCTTCAGTAAGTTTTTTTGTGTGAATAAATATCTTATTTGAACTGCAACCACTTTGCCTACAGTCTGCATTTGGGTCCACACCTCAGTTCTCTGTTCTTGCACTCGGGCCCTACATGACAATATGTACGAGTGCTGGCCAGCGACAGGCGTACCAGACCTTCAGCACCTTATGTAAGTTAGTGACCTAAGTCACATGATGTTTAACATGTGGTAAACATCATGGTAGTTTGTTTATGTTTAGGAAAATATCATTGTTTGGGTTAAAATAAGTATATTAAGTAAGTCACATGACATAAAACACTCGCACTCCCAACTCGCATTTGGACATTTGGTCAAGACCACTTGGCGTCAGGTTTTTAAAGTCCTGGGTACCATTTAGCATAATATTTGGACATATAAGGCTCCGCGGTCAAATTAGCAATAACTTTGAAAATAAAAGTGGTTAGTGTTAAACGTTGCAAAGATTGTGGTCTGGGTTAAAATAACTTGACTTACATAATCTATGTAACTTAAATGAAACACTCGATGTTGACTTTTTGTTTCACACGGGACGTAAATACCGGTTTCCTGGGTGAAAATCCAGTTTGTGGCCCACCTGTCCCCCTCAACCACCTCCTTCCACAGACTTCGGTGTTAAATATCCTACACCTGCTTTTAGCGATACAGGACTTCTCCAGTGTGTTGAACTATGACGCTAAGGGGCTTCCTAGTGTGTTTAAAAACTGATGCCAGTGGGTTGCGTCCATGTGAGAACGGGTTGTGACATAAGTCAGCTACAAATGTTATGTAACTTGGATCAATCAATGTCATCTTTGACTTTCTTCCACACGGGACTCAAACCTCAGTTTCCTGAGTGAAAGTCCAGAGTTTCTGTATCATCTCTGGTTTCCAGCTCCCTGAGTCCGCAGGTCAGACAGACTGAGGAGCCATCAGTTGATCAGAGCTCAGCACTGATCAATACAGATGATTTGATTAGCAGGGGATGCAGGAAGATTTTTAATTACCTCGCACTTTTTTATTTTTACTTTTCAAAAAGAGATGAAGTTGTAGAATAAAGCTGTGAAAAGATAGATTATGTTTTCTTGTTTCCCTGCCCAGGTTCTTTAAACTTGATCAATTATAAAAGGATTAAAGAATATTTGCCCAGAGACGGTGATTACTCAAACTTTTAATGGTATAATGGAGTCAAATCCCCCGTGGGAGGGTTGTATTTAGTTTATTTTCTTTTGCTGTAATTTCTTTTATTTGACTGTGGGTGTAAATAAGTGTTCTTTGCCCAGTTTAGGGGGGCAGGTTGTGAGGCAGCTAAAGTATTTTAATATTTGGTCATCAAAATAAACATACTGTGTTGATCTCATTAAAGGACACCTATTAGTTGTAGTGCTGTGACTCCTGTATGGCAGCTTTGCATGATTCAAAGTTCAAAAAAATATACTAATCTTATATTGACTCTTCATGTAGGCCTTCATTTCCAACACGTTCTCATCTCTGATTCTTTCAGACAGCGTGACAAAGCATAAGTATTTTACGCTAAAGGTACCCTTCAGCGTCCATATGATACGCCGCCGTTTGCTACGTCCCAGCAACACAAAGGTGGCTAACGCTACCTGCTAGCACCCAATGTGCACAGCTGTAGGGTTAGCTGGTCGACATGCATAAAGTCGGTGACTTAGGTTTAGGCACTAACATTTCTGACGGTTGTGGTAAGGGTTGGGTTTGGGGGGCTGTCAACACCTTTAACACGAACGTAGCTCGCTAGCACTTCCGGTCTGTATGAGACGCCCCAGAGCGTCTCATAGAGAGAGAGTGTGTGTGTGAGGCTGAATATTATGAGCAGTTTGGTAGGGATATTGAAATAAATTTTAATATGAACTATTTATTTTAGGTTAGTAGCTATATGCTGCTAACTCCGCCTCTTTTATGTGAACGCGCTCACGGCTGGATTGGGAAACCCTGGTTTGACTTACCGTGTTGATAACCAGCTTCGTGGTACCGCTTATCCCGATGGCGATTGTTAGGGTTAGTGAAGCCAGATAACTGAAAGAGATCCTGGGTATGTTGAACTCGCTTCGTGGTGCAGTCCCCAGGTAACTTTGTTAGGATAAAACTAGGAGTCATTAGCAAACTGTTAGTTAAACTTTAAACTGTTGGTTCCTTTAAAACTAACCTTCATCACAGGGATATGTGAACAGCTGATCTGTTCACTGCCTGTCAGATTTCTCAGATGATTTATTACATCAGTCAACACTTTCCTAATGAGTCTATCGGACACCATCCCCCGTGACTCCTCTGATCAGCTTCAGCCATACTCCACCACTTCCTCCCCGCCTCCTCAGAGCTGGCCAGCACCACCTCCTCCCCTCCTCTCTCCATCTCAGAGAGGGAAGTCAACAGACTGTTCAAGAGGCAAAAGCCCTGCAAAGCAGCTGGACCGGACTCTGTCTCCCCATCCATGACATGCCATGTGCCAGCCTGCTTCAAAGCCTCCATCATCATCCCTGTTCCCAAAAAACCAAGGACCACAGGACTAAACGACTACAGACCCATCGCCCTGACCTTTGAGCGCCTTGTGTTGTCCCACCTTAAATCCATCACAGACCCACTCCTGGACCCCCTGCAGTTCGCCAACAGAGCGAACAGGTCTGTAGATGATGCAGTAAACATGGCCCTTCACTTCATCCCCAGCACCTAGATCCCCAGGAACCTACGCCAGGATCCTGTTTGTGGATTTCAGCTCTGCTTTCAACAACATCATCCCAGCTAAGCGTGCCTGACGGACAGGAAGCAGCAAGTGAAGCTGGGAAAACATGTCTCTGATTCCAGGACCATCAGCACCGGATCCCCTCAAGGCTGCGTTCTTTTCCCTCTGCTCGGACTGATTCTGGTTAACTAAATTAATAGAACACTACAGTTATATTCTCACCCTGCAGACAAAGACCTGCACCTGAGCTGGAGTCACCTGGAGACGTCACCAGCTCCTCCATCATTAGAGACTGATGGAGCTGCTTTGACCCGCAGACTCGTCATCATCAAACTAATTGTTGGATCAAAGCACCCCCCCACCCCCGCCCCGCACACTGACTTCGGAGGCTCGCCAACAAATATTTGAGTGAGTTCTTTTTTCAAAGAGAGCAGGAAATCAAAGCACCTACCTGCACACTCCGGGTTCTCCTCGTTAAAATTCACTGCAAAGTCATGGGAGACCTGGAGAGGAGGAGAGAGGGGAGGGGAGGAGGGGGGAGGTACAGGAAGTCTGTTTGATCTCCGCACCAAAAAAAAAGAAAGCTTCAACAATGATGTAAGGACCCTCGCTCTCTCTTCACCTTCTTCTATCTTCATCTTCTTCTTGACATGTGATCTGAGCAGCTGACTGACCCTCCCCCTCCCGTCTTATTAAAACACAGGGCAGGTGACCCCCTCCGGTGTAATCTCACCTATGAGCGGACTACCATCAAACTCAGGGGGCCGCTGCTGTACAGGAAGTGTCAATCACTCCAGGGACTGATGCTGCGTTCACTTCATATTGGAAAGAGAAAAAGGTTTGATGTCTATCATGGAAACTAAAGGAAGTGTTCTCCTGTTGTATTCTTTAGCTTATGCCCTTCCCCAAGTGTGTCAGTATTATCATATTGGTGTAATACTCCTTGAAAATAAGGCAGTGTGAAGGCTAGCTTTGTTTCCTGTTGTCTGATTACCCCGATGTGCTTCACCTGTTCGCTCCCTCCCTGCTCGTTTGCCCTGTGCACATAATGTGCTCTGTCCTGTTCAGTCTTTGTCGTGTCCTCATGGTTGCCTTGCTTGTCTCTATGTTTGTCCCGCTGTGGCTTTTGGTACTTGGTTTGGACTTTTGTTCCGCTTTTTGGATTCACTGCCCTTGTTTGGACTTCTGGAGTATTTCTGTTTCCTTTTATTTATTTATTTTTCCTTTAAGTGAAGTCACTTAAGTAACGTACTTATTTTAAGTAGTTTTTATGCCTACACCTAACCAAATTGCGACGTTTCACAACATTAACCATTAGTTTTATTTTGAAAGTCTAAATAGGCATTGCATGTTTAACACTCAGGGTGTTAAAAGTGATGCCAAGACATCTGACCGAGCGTCCATATGTAACGAGTTGGGATGAGAATAGGTCGACAATTAGAATTAGAATAATTTTGCATTGAATTTCCCTTAACGCCCTCACATTTTGACTTTCCTTTTATTATAAAACTTGAAATTGAAATGATCATTTCTAGGATTTTTTTTCGTGTCAAAATCATGAAAAATACATGAGCGTAGCAGGTCTAGAGGTCTGTACTGGACCCCGACTGCAGACTGGGTCCAAAATGCAGCAGGGCTGGGCAGCAAGACCTTTATCCAACAACGGAGGCTGTGCCATGCCTCCCGTCTTTAAAGGACTGCCACATTTTATTGAGCAAAATCACAGCCTTTGACAGACTGTTGTATACAGTAAAACAGAGAATTGATAAAGTAGTAATAATAATAATCTTTAATTGTGGAGCACCTTTCTAAATCTGTGTTACAAAGTTCTTCAGCAACAGCTTGAAACCTGAAGAACCAGGAAAAGCTCTTTGATAGAAGTACATTTTAAGAAGAGATTGAAAAGAGGTCAGTGATTCTGCTGACCTAGTTTCCTCAGGCAGCTCCTCGCAGCGCCTCGGGATAAATGAAAGCCCTTCGCCGAGGATCTCATGCTACGAACCCACAAGTAGGCTATCTATGTCACATAAACACCCCTGAGACGACTGGCTCAGTAATATGTTACACAACAATATCTAACTAAAGTTTGCCTAGAAAGAAAGAAGACCGTAGCAGCAGGGCAGAAATGTTCAGCCCATTCTCACCAATAGTTACGCTTCGTCATGTCTTTCAGGGTCTGGTACCAACACACATGGGGGAAGAAGCCCTTTGGTGCCTTTGTTCAACTCTTAGGGACGGGTGATGCAAATTAGCAACCGCTAAAAACACTCATTGGATTGCTGTTTTATCAGTGTTAGATGTATCGGTACCTAATAAAATAAAATATAAAAAATGTACTATATAAATAACAGAAAAGTCTGAGTAAGGAGGTGGTCGGTTGGTCATAAACACCCAGGTGACCGGTCATTTCCTGCGTTAAAGAAAAAGTCAACAAGGGTTCCTTTTAGTGATGTTACGTTAGTTATTTTAACCAAATCCATCATCTTTTCCTAAACCTGACCAACAGTTATGGTGCCTAACCCTAACTAAACTGTGACGTTTCACAACGTTTGATTTGGAAAGTGTAACCGGACGTTGCATATTTATTGTTGCTAAGTTGACGGCGGAGCCCTACATGTACAAAAGCGATGCTTCGGGCTACCCTGGGTGTTAAAAAGCGACGCCAAGGGGTCTTGACCAAGTGTCCATATGTTGAAATGTTTTATTACTGATGAACTCAACATTTCATTCGTTCCAAAGTGACATAAGCTGCCTTCAACTTTGATCTCCTCCTGTCCTTAGAGTCCCCTTAGGGTTAAGGAAAAAAAAGGATAGAGTGGGAGATGGGGAATCAAAGAGTAAAATAAGTGAGAGACCTGCTTGTTTTTATTTTCTATTTAACTTTAAAACTTTTCTATATTTCCCTGTTGCTTTTATGTTTTATGTGAAGCACTTTGAATGACCTTGTTGTTAAAATGTGCTATACAAATAAACTTGCCTTGCCTTAAAACTTAGTGTTTCTAAGTAGTTGAACGCTTGAATGGAGATCATCAGTACTTTTTAGCATATGATGTGAATGCAGCATCAGACAAGCAGCCGCCGGGCGCTGCATGGCATCATGGGAAAGGAAGGGAAGTGGGGAGAGGGTTACAATCCAACCAGCGGCACCCAGGGTGACGAGGAGGAGGAGGAGACCGGCTGGTAATCATCGGCGACTGGCAGGGTCGCCCTCCCCGGGCGTCCCCTGCTGACAGAGAGCATGCTGGGAGAGACGGCGAGCGGAGCAGTTAAATTACCTTGTAGTCAGGAGGGATCTGAGCTCCGAAGCCAAACGCCGGGAACATTTTGTCACTGCGAGGAGAAAAAAAAAAAAACAGAACAGTCTGAGGGTCAAAATGGAAACGAGATGCTGGAGGAGGGTTCGTGATTGGCTGCCAGCGGGAGTTAACAAGCTCATTCAGACCGCCACTACTTCAACACAAAGCAGAGAAATTACTTCTGATTGGCTGTGGGAGTGTCTGTGAAGCTGAGAGGTGATTACTTCCTGCTCGGATCAAACAAACGAAAAGGAGTCAAAGAATTTAAATGAAGCATGTTTATGTTCTGCTGTTAGTCTTATTGTTACCTGAGCACTGGGCGGATGGTTACGCTGTCGTTTGTTCAGATATAGATAACTATAATTACTCCTTTCAAACCACAAACTGTTTCTACATTTCTGTTTGTGTACACTTTATTTCAGCACATTAATCAGGGAGCTTTGGAGGTGCTGGTCGGTGTATTTGTCTTTTTACTTTGGACAGAGCCAGGCTAGCTGTTTCCCCCTGTTTCTAGTCTTTATGCTAAGCTAAGCTAACCATATCCTGACTCCAGCTCTGTACTGAACATGCACATGAGACTGAGACATCTGACTATGAGAGAAAGCGAATGAGAACATTTCCCCGCATGTTGAACTATTCCTTTAAGCTGATGTGACATCACAGAATGTGGCTCACATCAACAACAATGGATTCCTTTTAACCTTGAAGAAAAATCTTTCCTGAACCTTTGACGAGTAAATTTATTTGACTAAAACAACCAAACCTCTTAACCAAAGAGGATGCAGACCAGGTTTGACCAGTGACCTAATTTGAGGACTTGTTTAAATCCAGAGTATCTGTCTGTTATCTTTTTAAAAAGTTATCTTGTGGGCCAATGAAGAACTGATTAGTTTTTGGCGTAGACAGCGCCACCATGTGGACTTTTGTCAGTACTGTCCTTATTTCCTGGATTCGTCTGGGTTCAACACCAACCGGGAAGCTCCAGGTCTGAAAAGTGAAGCCAATGACTTAAACCTGCGTCCTCTCTAGCAGCCAGCAGGGGGCGCCTTAAACCTGCGTCCTCTCTAGCAGCCAGCAGGGGGCGCCTTAAACCTGCGTCCTCTCTAGCAGCCAGCAGGGGGCGCCTTAAACCTGCGTCCTCTCTAGCAGCCAGCAGGGGGCGGCTTAAACCTGCGTCCTCTCTAGCGGCCAGCAGGGGGCGCCTTAAACCTGCGTCCTCTCTAGCAGCCAGCAGGGGGCGGCTTAAACCTGCGTCCTCTCTAGCGGCCAGCAGGGGGCGCCTTAAACTTGCGTCCTCTCTAGCGGCCAGCAGGGGGCGACTCCACCGGCTGCAGAAAGAATTTCTGATTTATTCCCTCAGTAAACACTTTCCTGATGAGTTTCTGGTCTCAGTCGCTAGTTTCAAGTCTTCTTCAACGCAGCATGATGTTCATTTAGTAAATTATGGTCCCATTTAGAGGAACAGAGACCAGGAAGCAGGGGAGGCTTTAGGGCGGGGCTACAAGCTGATTGACAAGTCGCTACCTTGGCGACCTGTCAATCAGGATAGAGGCGACTTGTATCTGCTGCTCTGAGTACATTTAACCAGCGCCGCTGAAAAAGCTCATCAGGAGTCGGCTATAAGTACGTCACTAGTCAAAATTAGCATCCCAGCTAATATCACAGTTAACGTGAATTACAGATGCACCTTGCTAACCAAGCCAGCTAGCTCCACCCTCTCGTCCAAAGCTCCGCGTGATCCATGATGACAGAGATATATAGAGATTAATGGCAGTAAAGCATGTCAATACTTTAGAGACCCCCGAAATATCACAAATCATGCTTTTAGGGGAGCTGATGTGAGCTGGCTCCCCCATAGTTCGCACCATGGTCATTCCTCAGTTTATATTCTCGAACCTTATATATGTTTTCCCCAAAGATCTGTCACTTTGTGTGAGTCGATGCAGAGTCCACAGTTGCTTTCTAGTTTCAAATAGTGTTTCTCAGATTAAACTCCTCATTTCAATCTAATAACGCCCCTAAGAAAGAACGATCTCAGACCTTCAACATGTTTTAACTTCACAGAGAATAAAACACAACCTTCACCGAAATGTAATATTAGAAAAGTCTGCGTGGGACAGAAAGTGAAGCCTGAAGCAAATTAGAAACGGGCAGCTTCTAAAACCAAATACAAGATACCAAGAGAATTAAGAGCACGGTGTGTGTGTGTGTGTGTGCGTGTGTGTGTGTGTGTGTTTCATCTTCATCAGTTCTTGTGTGTCTGAATAAAACATTTCTTCACAGTACAGCAACAGAAGATATTAAGATTATAACCACGCAGGCCATTAACATCAAACTGCCTTTACTTTAACCTGCTGTACAATCAGTCTGAGTGTATTTTTACTTTAATGAATGGACTAATCTGATTGGCTGCTGTGTTGTGTCGTGGTCAGGTGCAGGCCGACCTGTCATAGTCCTGGCAGATCTCTCCCACAGCCACCAGAGCCTTCAGGTACTCGTTGGGCTGGTACGGGTGGATGTAGTGCAGAGAGCAGCTGTTACGAGGATCTCCGTTGGAGGCCGTGAAGTCGATGGCTACCTGGAGACACGACAACCAATCAGAGACAAGCTTTAACCCTTTAAATGTTACGTTTCTGTCTTGTATGTAATGCTCTGCGTCTCATTCACTTCAAATGAAGCCTGTGTGATGTTTGAGACCATCTTCTGTGCAAAGCGTTAACTACTAGCCTAACTACTTTTCTGTAGACTTGCAATCGTACATCAACAATAAATACAGTTAAACAGACAAAAAAGGACACAATTTTTTTCTTTGTAGCTACTTAACCATAATAGAAGCACAAAAATCAAGGACAACTGAACCAATAAGCAACATCTGAACAAGTCAGGAAAATCCGACAGGCAAAACGCTCTTATTCTGAAATGCTCCATGTGGCTATGTAACGTTAGCCTGCAGAGAGCGGAACGCAGCCACAGAGAGCGGTTATCCATAGTTCACAAACTGACAAATTAACAACACGTTAACAACGTGCAGGCTAAACGCTCCGCTGCTGAAACGTCAGTGTGAGTTGATGCCGGACAAAACCGCGGCTCAGCCGCTGCCTGTGTCGGTGACAGGAGGCGCATGGCGTAAAAGGAGGCGCATGGCGCTTGTGATTGGCGAACAAGTCTGTTACACAAGGATGACAATGGCATGAATCTGTAACTGCATGACTGTTTAAAACAGGTCAGACGCATTATTAACCTACATTTTAATCGCCGTCTTCACGATTAGCTAATCACGTTCTTTCAAATCGCAATTTCGATCTGAAAACGATTAATTGTTCAGCCCTAGTCTGAACCAAATGTTTAATACATTCGGTTAGTTTAGGTTTGGTTTCACATTGCAATCATGCAACTGCACGAAAGAACTTTACGTGACAGACTTTCAGCGTCGATTCAGCATCATCAGAGTGGGCTGCCAATACTCAACATTGATTGGTTTGTAAAAGGACGTGTGTCTGATGTCAGCATGTTGTCACTTGGGCGGGTAGCTTTGACAAGCTTTGAGTCTATGGCCTTCATATCGTTGCCACTATATTGTTATTTTTATCCTTTGAGCCCTGGCACCTCTATGTGGGGAGAGACCAAAGAGGTGAGCGGCAGTTCGCTTCCATAGTGGCCGTCTGTTTGAAAAGATGAGCTGTCACTGGCGATTTATAATTGTGTCTTTATTTCAGTGCATTTCTCAGTGCATAGAAATACAATAGATTAAATTCTCTCTGTTGTTTCTGGTTTACTCGGGAACAACTGGTACTTTTGATTCGGACCAAGACTACCTCTTTTTGTTGGACCAAATTCTGGCTGTTTGGTCCGCACCCTGGTCGTGGGGAGGTTTCAAACCTGTAATTTTGGTTTGAATCAAGTCCAAAGGCCGGATCTAAGGCGGTAGGTGTGAAAAGGGCCCAAAGTTATGTCGTTATTTTAACCCAAACCATGCTGTTTTTGTAAACCTAACCAAACTCTGCCATTTCAGAACATCACCAGGAGATTTATTTTGAAAGTCTAAACGGCTGTTGTATATGTATTCTTGCTGACTTGACTCCAGATCCCTAAACGTCCAAAAAATACACTAAAGAGAACCCAAGGCATTAAAAAGCAAGCGCCAAGGATTCTTGACTAAGCGTCCTTGTGACAACTCTTCACCCAACTATGAAATATAATTTACATCTCACTGATGATGAAGTGGAATAATTCGCTTGTTACACTAATGAGCTCGTGTCAGAGATACGTGTGTGTGTGTGTGTGTGTGTGTGTGTGTGTGTGTGTGTGTGTGTGTGTGTGTGTGTGTATATTTATGGTTTTACATTACTGTATATGTACCTATGAAAAATACAAATACTATGAAACCCAAAGCGCCTCACAAGAAGAAGTTTGTAGACTTGAATCCAAAAAGCTTTTCTGTTACCCAACACAGTATATATATGTGTATAAATGTAATAATAGGACTGACACTGAAACATATATGGTATTTCGGTACATGCAATAAATCATTCAGCTATTCTAACTTTAGCAGAACTTGAGTGGAAAATGAGGCTCTAGAGGGAATGGTGTGTTAGTCTTTAAATACAAGAAGAGAGAAAGTTTCATCTCTGACAGAAACATCTTTTCCAACTAAAACATCCTGCAGCCTGCGTACACACAGACGGAGTTTCCTCTGGAGAGGACATGAACCGACAAACAAACAGCTGATTCGACACGCTGCTACAGAGAAAAACACACCTCACTCCTCTTCTTACCGCCTTCCTCACTGAACTGAAGCTTCCTCACTTGTTTACATGTAAAGTGAGTTTCTGACCCTCCTGGGCGATTAAACCCCAGCGGGTTATTTCAAACAGAAACTCTTTTCTTTCGTCTTCTCCTGACTGTTGTAGGAAAGTGTTTTCTGACGGTGATTAAACATTTAAACATTCGAGGAGAACGAGGCGGCTCAGATCTTGTAGCTTCGCTGCAGGAAGTGATGCAGCTTTATGGAGTTCAGTGTTGCTGCTGACTTCCTGTTTGTATCACAGCCGGACTGAAGCATGGTGCTTAAAGTTGTTAGAAGAGGACGTTTAAAGATCTGAGGTCAGTTTTCCTCTACGTTATGGGGAGTTGAGGTGTATCCCATCATGCACACTGTCACAGAACAATGAGCGCGGCTTCCCTCAGTGACGACCGGCTACTGCAGATTCATCCTCCACAACATCAGGAGGATGCTTCTGTTCCTCACCCAGGAGCAGGTTCTGGTCCGGTGTCTTGTAATCTTTGATCCCTCAGTCTGCATGTCGAAGTGTCCTTGGGCAAGACACTCAACCTCAAATTGCTCCTGATGGCTGTTCTATCAGTACGTGAAAGTGTTTCTGGTGAGCAGCTGGCACCTTAGCCCGCTCATCAGTGTATGAATGTGTGTGATCCAAAAGACGCTTTACAAATACAGACCATTTACCATTCCCCTGCTCCCTGCACCGGCTACTATGGCTGCTCGAATCTGGTTTGAGACACTGGCACTTGACAAATGTGCTGCAAATAGCTCAAGCCCATCCGAAATCCAGGACAGGGTCAAACACCCCAGCCCGTCCACAACGCTCCGCCAATCAGGTCGCTCACTACAAAGGGAGGGGCAGCTACCGCTCAACAGAATCACCACTGTTTGCTGTCCCGACTCCACAGGTGAGACGAGCTCCCGATCAACATCAGGAAGACTCAGCTGTTCAGACCGCAGCTTAAATAAAAACTCTTTCTGTGTCTGTTATTGTTTCGAAAAGTAGAAGCATTTTAGGTGATGTACCACATGTTTCTATAGATGTTTAGTGATAATAGCAGAGGTGGGACCAAGTCATTGTTTTACAAGTCCGAGTCTCAAGTCTTAGCACTCAAGTCCCAAGTCAGTCCCAAGTCCGGACCGATCATGACGGGCAAGTCCAAGTCGAGTCCAAGTCTTAATCTCTGAGTTTCAAGTCCTAAACAAGTCATAATGCGCTCTTCACCAAATTTAAAAACCATTTCAAAGGTTTTTTCAAGTTAAAAATAAAACAATGAATGAAGCATTACCTGTACAGAAACAAGGCAGAGGTGCAGTTTCACACAACAAATTTCATGAATTAAATGAAATGTTCATGTAGGCCTGCTAATTATTAAGGTCAATATTGAGATCACAATTATTTAACAGGATTACTCATCGCCTTAGGAAACATTAACTATTGAAATGTAATACTTTCTTTTTAAAAACTAGGCTTCTATATATGAATTACTGAAAAATCCCAAATAGCCCATAAAATAAGAAACAATAATCCAACATTATTAACTTTAAGCAGCATCTAGTGTGCAAGAGGACGACAGCAGCACAGTTTCCCCCAAGTTGACAGCTTTGGGTGACGGATGTGTGTGTGTGTGTGTGTGTGTGTGTGTGTGTGTGTGTGTGTGTGTGTGTGTGTGTGTGTGTGTGTGTGTGTGTGTGTGTGTGTGTTGTTCCCTCTTGCTGGAGGAAGCCACGTCTAATTGAGCATCATAATTTATATTCGGGCATGGGGAGTATCAAGTCAGCTTGAGTCAAAAGGCTCAAGTCCAAGTGAAGTCAAGTCATAATTTTTGTGACTCGAGTCCACACCTCTGGATAAAAGGGTTAACATTCAGCTGCATGCCTGGCTGAAGTATTAAAAGTTGAGCTAAAATCAAGAAAAAGCAGACGTGCATATGTTTGACTGTCTTCCAAAAAGTATCCACATGGCTGAAACGCACTTGAAGTCGCTTTAGATAATTTGACCTAAATGTGATGTAGGGAGGGTTAGACCAATTCAAGACCAAGACCAGAGTTTTATCGAGACCAGTTCCCAACATTACATGGCACTCAATAAAATTGTGAATCAAGATCATAGGTACTCAAACTGATCTGAAAGATCCACATTCCCATTAAAAACACCCACATACAAACACTAAGAGCTGAAATCAACATAAGCATCTTTATTCAACTCTCTCTTTCTTTTCCATGCTTACTATCATGGGGAGGGGGGGCAGTCATTAACGGGAACAACACATTTTTTAATTAGGGTTTCTATATATACACTCGGTCTTGTCTCGGTCTTGGAGACTGGTTGCATTTAAATCAATAAGTTTTCCATCCAATCAAAGTTTGGATGTTAACAAATAAATCAGATGATGAAAAAGCAATTTATCGACATTCCCAAAGTTATGCTCTTGACTGGTCTTGATATAAATTCCTGAGTCCTCAATGTCCAAGACCGAGTACAAATGCGGTCGAGTCTGAGACGAGACCAAGACCATCAAAAAGGGGCCTTAAGACTTGTCTCCAAACCAAGACCGGTCTTGAGTACTACAACATTACTGCAGTCTAAACCAAACCAGGTCAGACAACCAGACCAAAAGTAAACTCAGGACAGGTGTCCACATACCTGTCCACAGGCAGTGTTTCTCAGCCTGTGTAAAAACTAGGCCAAGTTTCACCTGACGGCCGGCTGGGTCTGTGCCGTAACCGGCCCCCTCTGGGGTCCAGACTCAGATGAAATACAAGCGTTCAGCTCAGCAGCATATTAGTTTATTAAATGCATATTAAACTGTTTGTGTGAAGATCAACGAGGACGTCTTCTGTTCCTGAGGGCCGCAGATCGACCCTGCAGCGTGAGTTCAGAACCAGCGGGGAGGAGAGGCTGCAGCATTCGACTGGTTAAACTGGTCAGGCCCCCAGTGAGAGCTGCTGGGTCTAACTGGGACACAGAGGCTGCCGAACGTGTCTCCGTGGTTACCGTTTCCATGGAGACCAGCCAGTCTGATAACAAGAAAAAAATTTCTGACTGGAAGATGACCTGTGTGTTTGGGGGGGGGTTTGTTTCACTGTACTCACGGGGTCTAAAAACTGTGATTCCACTGTACTTGTGGGGTCCGACAGCTTTATGGGGACCAAAATGCTGTACCCCGCAAGTTTAAAGGGAAGTCTGAGGGTTAAGACTTGGTTTTAGGGTTCAGGTTAGCATCAGATAGCTTGTAGCTGTGATGTTTAGGGTTAAGGGGTTAAGGGGTTAAGGAATTCATTGTGTCAATGAGATGTCCCCACAGGGATAGTGGAACAAACGTGTGTGTGTGTGTGTGTGTGTGTGTGTGCGCTCACTGTAAACTGGATCTGACAGCCTCCCATGATGTAATCCAGGAAGGAGTGCATCTTGATGATCTGCAGACAGAAAAACATGAATATTTAGAGGCTGTTATTTTGTAATGACATGAAACAGCGTTCGTTTACACGCCGACTGAAGTCACACTCACATCAGCTGTTTTCATTCATTCACACAGCCTCGCTTTTACAAACTGGAGGCGTGGAGCTGGAGAGACGGATAGTGTCTGGCTCAGGGCCGGCCCTGACAGCATTGGAGCCGTAGGCGAGATTTTATATTGCCGCCCCCCCTTATCCCATGTGCAAATGTGTAAATAAGTGTGATCGGCACGCTTGCCATCCTCCAGACATCACAGCCTAAATTGGGAGACTAAACATAAACTGGTATATACGTTCCTCCCAGAAACTATACAGAGACATTTTTCTTTCATTCTAGTGAATTTGTCGGGTAGACTTTTTGTAGAAATGCAAGAGCTCACTTTTATTTGAACACTGGAAGGGACACTTCTGGTTCTGGGGGACCTCCCCACAAACAGTTTGAGCATTAAACACTTAATTTCCTGCATTCTGGTGAAATTTTCTTCTCTGTATCAATTTAAAGTGTTATTTACGTAAAGGGAAACACAAAATTCAGGCAGCTGGTAAAAATTTTAAATTTTAAAAATGCAGTAAGCCTCTCAGGCCTTAGATCAACTATTATCATAAAATCCCTGCTGAGTCAGCACACATGACGTAGTCTTCCCTCCACTTTAGTGTTTTTTTTGTTTGGGGAAGAAACCTCTTTAAATGTGCACGTGGCACCTTGTCACCTCCATAATGAATGCATTCATTTTAATTCAGATAGAAACTCGTGGACTTTAATGGCTCCTGTGTTTCAGCATGTTCCAAACTTTGTGCACATTCAGAATCTCTCCCACGTATCTGTGTTCTCTGACATGTTGAGTCATAATATTACCAGAATAATGCCATAATTTAATCAGATTTCATAATATGTTAATACCTTCCCTGATACTTTGCTGCTAATTAGCATTCCCTAAGTCAAAAACTTTCTCTTTTGTGGCGCCCCCCTCCCTCGCCTGTTTCGCCTATGCCACGGGCCGGCCCTGGTCTGGCTACTCTAGAGTATCTAGTGTTTTTGGAGTTTGATCATAGGGACTACAGTGTGTGTGAAAGGGCACGTTTGTCCAAATTTACACCTGTTTTGGTGACACACATTTTCACACATGCATTGTGCTTTATGTGGAGTTTAATATCAGCCAGAAACACAGAAGGTTTCATCCAGACGTCCTTGTTGTACATTATATCACAGTGTGTCACAGTGTGGAGGTTCTTGATGTTGTGGATTTTGCTGCTGTTGTTTCTGGTGAACCCGTCCTCTTGTGTCTTCGGTATGTTTCGCCTCCTGCTTCTGTGTTCCTTATGTCATTTGTTCATCGGTTTTGGTTCCTGTTTTACTTTGAAAGTGTTCTTCCTTGTGTGTCTCGTGCTGCTTTTACCTCTTCTCTTATATTTTCCTTGATTGTTTGCACCTGATTGTGATCACCTCGTTATCCTCAGCCCTCCCGTGTAGTTTCATTCTCATTGTACCACTATTACGACTGTCTCGTCTTCCAAACCTCATCCCTGGTGTTTTCCAGTGTTTTGTGGATGGCACTTACAGATTTATATTCGGCTCTGTGGATTTCTGGATCATCACCTGTTCATTTATGGATGTTCGTGCTCTGTTTTGCCAACTTCACATCAACTGTAAGTTTCACCTGTTGTCAAATAAATTGCTCTAACTTAACAGTGTCCCTGACACAGTGTTTAGGTTTTGTTAGAAACAGGCGATCTGAAGACGTCATTGAGGGAAATTAGTTTGACATTTTTATAAACCAAACGACCGGTTAATTGAGAGAGAAAATTATTTTCAGATTACAGTCTAGAAAGGAGAGCAGAGGTGGAAAAAGGGTGGTGACCCGGGTTCAATCCCCCACTGTGACTCATTTACCATTGTGTCCCTGAGCAAGACACTTAACCCCTCGTGTTAAGGCGTGTGACCTCTGACATGTATAGCAATTGTAAGTCGCTTTGGATAAAAGTCACTGTGCAGAATGAATAAAATACTGCATTACAACATTATATTAATCAAAATAATCAATGTGTTCATCACTTGAATGGAGCTCATTTTAAAGACTATGTACACTGCCAGCTGTGTTAAACTAGTTGATGATATTTCATAAGAATAATCTGAATATGCAAAGTAACTGAAAACGCCACTTGCTCCGGCTGCTCTGACAGAATGAGAGTGAATCTTTATTGTGAACAACCAGCGGATGTAAGGAGGACAGAGCTGCATCTGGTTAGTGACCGGCCTGCAAACCTGCTCTCATTCTGTCATCTCGCCTCGCCTCCTGCACTCGGAGCATTTGGTTTCATTTCCTGCCTCCTCATCTATTAAGTGCAAATTACCTCGCAGCCTCCAGAGCAGCTCACTCACACTTTGTATGTTGTGTTGTGCTAAACCTCATTCTGCGTTGCGCTTTTCAAGCAGCCGTTAACTCGATCTGAAGCGGGAACTCTTCACGTTTCGAGTGTCATCTGGCTAAATGTTATCTGGCTTTCATTCTGCCGCAGGATTCCCCAGACCCCGCTCGCTCGGTCAGCGTCGTCTGACAGGAAATGTCAGGTTAGTCAGGCAGCCCGGAGCCACATAATTGGTTCCTCTAACGGTCTGTCGGCCAGACGCCACCATCAGCCTCCGAAAACACAGAGAAAAAGCTTCATCTGTGCCAGGAAAATGAGGTTTTAGGGCCCTAAACCATTTGAAACAGGGTAGAAACATTTATAAATACTGCCATGAAGGGTGATGTTAAGATGATACTGTTAAAGAGAAGCTGCAGTGTCTTAAAAAGGCACTTTTTGGTAGTTAAGAGCGTTCGGGTCCTAATTAGCCTGCTAACGCTGACGACTCATTATTAAATAATGTGATTTATGCTAATATCACTGCCTTTAGTTTCTTAATCAGGCTCACTGTGGATGTCTGGAGAGCAGCAGATAAAGGTAACAAGGTTTTATTAAGGATTTCAATATCGGTACGTCTTATTTATGAAGCATCTCAGAATTCCTCTGAGACAGAGTGAGACGTCGTTGTTTCATCGCACTTTTAGAGTCAAAATAGTTAGTAAAGTAGTCAAAAGTTTTACAACTCCTCCATGTTGTAGTTCCTCTGTAAATCTAAGTAGTTCAAGTCCAGTGGAAAAACTTTAAATGGTACCAAAGTAAGCAGCAAACATTTTACGGCACAAAAAGAGACCTTTTCAGATCTAAAATTAACAATTAAATGAAGGAGTTTTGTTCATTATTTCACTGAAGGATCAACCAATGACCAGCTGCTCTGTCTGCCTTCATTAATATTAATATAGAATATATTTAATATAGTACATAAAGCTTCTGAGGGTGGATTAACAGACTGATATGAGGTATTTACAGCAGAAATGTTTCATTATAAACCCTAAAATCCATGTCTAGCACTCTCCCTGTGTGCTCTGACAAGGGTTTTAACTAAATTCTTGTGTGATCATGTTATTTGATCCTGTAGACACTTTACACAATTTACTTAAGTATGTTTTAAGTATTGGACTTTGCTACATTTTCAATCACATACGTTACTAAGTAAAACAAAAAAGTGCCAGGAAAACAACCGTTTCTTAGACAGCAGACCAGTTTGAAATATGGCAGTGAGAAATGCAGCAGCCGCAGACACAGCGAACTGTTAAAGAGCTGCACGCCTCCACCTTCAGCCAGGTAACCAGCTCCTTTCACTGTCGCTGTTCAGACTCATGTTGTGTGCAGCATGAAGTCAGATCATGACTGCGCACAGAATTATGGAAAATACCTATAAATGCCCGACAATAGTTTATTTAGCTGCCCCAGACTTCTGTAAGGTATCTGCTGTTAACACCAGTAACTACACGTGTCTCATGCTGCATAATGGCTTCAAAACAGGTTAATTAATGCCAGTTACATTTATATTTACAGATTTTTAACCATCACTCAGTGAACTCCTTGGCTGCGGTGTGAGAGCATTTCCTAGTTAAGTAGGCCTATGCAGACTTATCACTATGGATTTCGGCCTATCATGTTTTCAAGGAGTCTGTTCACATTGATAATAGCGTAAGCTAATAAAAATGTTCATTTTGTGAAAGTTGAAAATATTAAACCGTAATATGGCAATTATTTTTTGATTAAATCCGGCCCCCACAGTGTCTGTTTAGAACAAAATGTAGTTGAGGACCCCTGATGTAGAGGTCAGTAAATAACAGCCTGCTTCCATCTGTGGTTAAATATTTTTTCATAGTTTGGTAAGATGCTTTGCTCCAAATAGCTAAAAGACATCGGTGCATGACAATGTTGGTTGGTGTTAGTAACCTGCTGGTTATGCTTATGAAATCCCATTAAAATGACCATCTGTCTGAATGTAAATAGGGATATGACTTCATATACAGTCCAGTGTTTCCCGTTTTCTCAGTCTAGTATGGGCCAGAGTTTAATCTGTTCCGCCACAGTTTCCTAATGAAGCGAAAACATTCTCAAACCTCTCATTATAACATTAAATGTTACTGTTGTTTCCCCATTGATTTGTCAAGTATCTGTCAAACAAACTAAAATTGAAATTACCATATGTATTTGTTCCATTATCCAATAATTATGTATAATATGTATAAATAAGATATTAAATAAATGTAAGTTGTTTTAGGAGATTAAAAAGTAACTTTTACTGAGTAAACTTGAGTAGATTTTTACACAGTAACTTTACTTGTACTTAAGTTTTTTTTGTACTCTTTCCACCTCCAGTAAAAACCTTCAGAATATAGTCAGGAATAAAACAGGAAAGTTTAGTGTCTGTAAGAGCTGCTGAAGAGATATCAGGCTCAGAGTGGGGGGGGACTCATTTTGAGAAAATTACAACATCATGATAGAATATCACACTGATAAATGAGTAACAGCATGCTTGAACAGTCACACCCGCAGAGAGCTAAACCAGGGAAAAGGTTTGTATTATGGCATTTCTTAGTTTCTAACTCTGGGAAAGTGGGAAGGACAGTAAACCTCCCCCAAACTACTGTATATGTATATCATAGCTAATGTAATAGTTTTCCATTTCCATTCACTGAGGAGGTCCGCCTCTCACTTTAAAAACTTCTGCTGTATGAAGTTTGATTTACGACTGTCATCTCTAACAAAGTTGATGAGTCTCCTGGACAAAAGCTACTGAGATATTTTGCTCTAGATCTGTAATGAACGAGGGATTAATGGATGGACCACGACGCAGAAAGTAGTGCTTTTTTATAATTAATGCTTCAACAAGGAAGCAGAACATTTCACAGCTGCGCATAGCTGAATGTCATCTGCAAAGTAATGACCATCAGTACTGTCGCTCAGGACCCCTAGTGGTGACGCCAAGACAGAAGAGCAGTGGGCCCAGGACAGAGCTCTGTGGCACTCCATATCAAATTTTAGTTTTTTAAATAAAACACCTGTTTTAATATGTCGGTCAGTCACCTTGCACTGGTTCAGAATGACAATCCCAGAGTTCTTGTAATTCTTCTTCTTCACCTGGTATTTGGGATTTATGCACGGCCACTGCACCTGAAAACACAGAAACAAATGGCTAATTATTTTCAGCTCGTCGGCCTCTAAAAACTAAATTTAGAGGAAACAAACATTTACCTGGACAGAGATTGTTTAATCTTTATTCCCATTTCATTGAATTTTGCTTACAAAAAGTATAAAAACAAAACCTCAGGACATCACATACAGTAAATACACAGAGACATGGAAAAACATGAAGCCAGAATAATTACATTTTATTTGATCCATTATTTAGTCTCATCAAGATCAAAATCACTGTTTCAGAGAGACTTGTGCACAAGAAAACAGTAGAAACATGGACACAGAGTGTCCTCACCACCAAACGATATTACAGGCACATTCTTACAACCCATATTTATGTTTATTGTAGCAGCGCCCTCTAGTGACCGTAAGCTGGCAGCTAAGGAGGAAGTCGGGTGACATATTAGGCAGAAAGTCAGGAGGTAGAATTGGTCAAAGCCATACCTGCCGACATTGAAATTTTAAAATAAGGGACATTTTCAGGGGATCAAATAAAAAAGTTACTCAGGCCTAACATTAATTCCAGTTGTCATGGAAATTATTCTCTTTCCTTGGGGGAGCATTTAACAAATAAATTACAACAAACTGTTGTCTTTTGGTTGATTTATTAAATGTGAATTAAAAGAAGTGCAAAACAATAAACAGCTGGACCAGAGATCCACTGCCTAGTGCAGTTAGTAACATCTGGCAAAGAACAAAGGAGTGCATACCAATTTAGCTCAGTGTATGTTTATGGAACAGAGGCTCCTTTGCCATCAAAGACTAAACTTACTGGAACAGAGTCAAAGGGGAACCGAGGGGACACAATAAACCTAACAAGCTGTTCCTTATACCACAGCCTACACATCAGTACATGGAAAACATAATATAATAGACTGAGTTACAAATACTAATATACGAGTATATGGATACTGTAATACAAGTGCATGCATAATGGGTGAAACACATACAGGAAGAGATTATCCGTCGCCACACCAGTTAGGTGGATTGTTTCATTCATTAAATGCTTTTGCAAGAAGAACTGTAAGGTTTAGCCCCATGGTGAAGGAGGAGACATGGACATGAGTTCTTCACCTGGTGCTTTCATTTATTTTTAAACCAGATTCGTGGAAAGTGCAGTTGTGCAAGTGAGGTATTGTAAAAATATATCAAAAATTAACAAAAACAAACAACGAGAAAACTAAGTATATACTATTCAAATTATCATTAAAAACTGAGATTACACAAAACAAAACCTATATCAGCCCTGACTATTGGGCTCCAGCACATGTGCCCTTCCAGGCCCAAGCTGTTCTCTCCAGGGGGCCTCTGCCTCCTTCCTTTATACCAGAAGCCCCTCCTACAAGACAAACCAAAGTTAATTGACAATCAATTAAACACCATTATGTTATCTCAACCATCAAACACATCTCTGGCTACATCACCACACAACAAATCAACTAGAAAACCAGAAATGAAATGTTACCGGCTAAACAAAAGCTTCTCAAAAGAGCAACTTTAAGATACTCCCGTACACCCCTCTGTACTGGCTCACACTTGGACCATTCCAGGTCTTCTCCCTATAAATGACTCCACACTCCATCACTTCCTGTTTGCCCCTTCGGCCCAGATCCCTGCTTGATGAGGAGAACAGGTGAATAAAACACAAACACTTGAATGACCTTGGGTAAATCCCATAAGCTAAAATAAATTACTTGAAATGAACTGTGTATGTGTTGTATTTATCCAACCATGATTTCAACTCTTCTGACCAGTACTTATATGAACTGACATGAAATGACAGGCCATGTGTCCATTGATGCTAGCCCATATGCTAAGGGTAACCGTCCTATGCTAATGCTCAGCTAAGGTTAGCTTAGCATGCCAAGACCAACACTGCTGGCTTCAATGAAGGCATGGGGTAGCCCCATGACAGAACACTCTACATTGATCTGTAAGTCATTAACGCCAAGTACTAACTTGTTAATAATCACAACCATTCATGCAGAACAATTACAGTAGATTGTAATCTTTACTTGCACATCGTTAATGTTTCTGTTCACATGTATTTATTTTTAGGGGCACGTGCCATTAAAATACTCCCTGAGCCCTGCATCATCCAACCTGAACCCCTCACGCTGCTGCTGCTCTTCTTCTTGTTTATTGGCGGGTGCTCTTGACTGTCCGTCACTGTTACAGCTGATGTTTCTCAGCATCACTTACTTTTCAAACAGGGAGGTGGCAGTGAGCACGGGAGTTTTTTAATTAGGATGCAGATCTGTGATTACGCTTGGTTCAAACTCCTCAGTCCTGGGATTTAATTTGACATTATAGTACAGAGGTGCAGACAACTGCAGCTTCACATTCAGAGACACAAAGTGTGTTAGACAGCGGCGTTGACCACAAGCCCTCCGAGCTGAACACAATCCTTCAGCTGCCTAAACAAGTCACTCTGACTCCGTAAGAGTGGAGACCAGGTGACGCTCGGCGGCTCAGACTGTACTTGTGTGAATAGACAGAGGCAGGAGGATGAAGGGCAGAGCTCTCTGGAGGCTTCAGCTCTGAGGGATTCTTGTTTCTGTGTAGCTGAGCCAACTGTCAGCTGAGGAAGGCGGACAAATAAATAAAACCTGTACAGAAGAAGAAGAAGGGTGGGGTGGAGATCCCCACAGGACTCGACTGACTGCTCATTGTTTCCTGAGGAGGAGAGTAACAGTTCTACTCCTCTGCTGGATAACAGCAGCGAGGAAAACACCTTTCTCTCCTGCTTCACTGAGTTTACAGCTGAGGTGGAGACACGATCCGATCAGACGGTTTCAGTGGAAGATTAAAAAATGGTGTATTTATATGATTTGTTTAACTGCTGTAGAACCAACAGCCCTCTGGGGACAAAAAATGTGATTGACTCCACGGGAGTGTCAGGGTTTGGTTTTTTCTTGTCTTATTTTGAAGGAATCCTTCCTAACTTTAGTCCCAGTGTTTGTTTGTGTGCTTTCCCTCCTGTTTGTCTGTCCTGCCATAATTAGTTTCACCCGCGTCTCGTTATCCTCCCGTCATAAAATGACCCACGTTATGACCTTTTACCTGATGACCTCATCCGTGACGAGCCCTCCAGTTGGTTCTTTGATTTATGTTGCTAGAAAGACGTGAAGAGAGCATGCACGGGGTGTTGTGTACAACTGTGTGTCGCCTGTAGAAGTAATGTTAGCTGGTGGTGTAACACCAAAATGTGTGACCTATCAGATTCTGTGACTACACCCAAACGACGATGTTTTCCTGACCATAACAAGTACTTTTGGTGCCTAAACCCAACCAAACAGCCACCGCTTCACATTGTCAACAAAGCCTCTGGCGCTTAACTTCCCATTTGGGTCACAGAATCTGATAGGTCACACATTTTGGTGTCACACCGGTGTTGCCGACAGCTAACGTTAGCCTACTTACTACACACAGATAAACAGAGGTGCTCTGTTCACTTCCTTCTTGCTGTTTGAGAGAGAAGTTTCACAGGCGTCGCGAGGTCTGGTCAGGTTTATTACTTATTCCTCCTACTTATAGCCTACTTATCAGCCCTTTTTAAAAATGATCATTTAATTCAGAACAGTACTGCAATAGATTTAGCCTGCATTTTAACAGCAAACCTACTATATAAACTCAATAATTGGAAATATATGTAATAAATTCAGTGTAAAATAAATAATATTCCTGACATCAAAGTGAAGAAGAAATGGCCCTATTTAGATTTCAGACAAAAAGGTATGAAATGTTACGTGAAGGTAAACGCTGCTGTGTCATACTTATTATGGGCCGCCAGAATGAACACACACACACCTCTTTAGATTTATGATTAGACAGATAGTCAGTCAAAATCCAAATATCTCAGATTCACAATGCAAGATATAAGATCATTATCACAATATTGCCTGTAGACACACACACACCTGTATATAGATCTGTCTCACTCTTACCCCTGCCTTGGCCGACCTCGTCCTTTCTCCCAGTACTGTTTCCTTCTCAGATTATTTCCCACACTTTTTTGAGCCTGGTATCTTATTTCCTCTCCCTGCAGCTTTCGGTGTGCAGCAGTCTCTGAGCGTCTCCCTCTTATTTTCTCATAGCAGTTCAGTCACTGTGAGCCCGTTCCAAACACTGTCAGCAATCTTTACATCTCATCTTGGTCACATATTTGTGTAATCAGCTAATATATCTCCTATGTTTGTTATAATATCTCTAGTCACAGATCACCTCCAGTAGTATCAGCAGCATCTGTTCCCATCAGTTCTGTCAGCCCACCGTTTTAAAGCTAGATCTGGGTATTCCCTGTTTCTTTTTCAAAACTGTGTCACAGCATTTGCTGATGCATCAGTATACGCATATAATCAAGGAATACATTACAATATATTTCTGTATCGATATTTTGAGAACAGTGCAATTTAAATCCTTGTTCCATGAGCCCCTTTTATACTTTGAGCACCTGCCCTTCTAAAGGTCTCTGCACGGCCCTGGTTGATTGGTTGGTTGTGTTTGTTCGGTCGGGTTAAGATGGGGAAATAACGGATCATGAAGAGAAATCTTTCTGACGAGTCATCAAAGTTGTCTTATTCTTTTTTATAGACTGGTTTCTGTGCAACATCATCACAGAGATGCATTTTTTTTTTAACGTCACTGGCTGAAATATAAAAAAACAAAGCAAGTCCCTGGACTTCTTAAACTAGTCGCGTATTCATGACACAAACAATGAGGATGATTTTTACAAAGCATAACGTGTTTTTAACGCCACTGTCTGAGATAAAGTGTCAACTTTTGAGCTAACGTTATTCTTTAGCACATGCATTTATAAGAGAAGTATTCAGTGCTTTTACAAAACACAAGACGTTGATTAACGCCACTCTGTCCTGCCGCGTGGACGCTTCACTGGCGGTAACGTTAGCTGGCGGAGTTTCTTTCATGCTAAGTTTCACGTTTCTTAGCAGATGCTTCAATAGAAAATTGTTAGCGGTTGAAAGCTTTTTGCTGGTCTCATCTCTGAGTGTGTCACAGCTAAGTTATGCCGAATGGCAGGACTTAGAGCTGTGGAAAGAACTCTTCTCTCTCTCGTTCTTTTAGTTTTTTAGCTAGCAGCCCACATTACGTCCGGTGACACTGACCTGCAGCGCGGTCCCGCATGTTACATTAATATGCAAAATGATACGCAAACAGATCCAACTCTCAAATGACGGTTTATTATTAAGTCAACAACAATTTACAAACAATGCGTAACCTACGTTGATTACAGCGGTTGACTACGGTCTTCTGACCGGCTACTGAAGCGCTGTTGCCCCCCGGCTGCAGGCGCATCCAGCAGTGTTTGTATACAAGAAACTCATCCATAAATTCAGACCTAAAGGTACCACAGATCTTTAACTGCACCATGAAACGGAATACCAACTGAATCTAAACTTGGTGGCGCGAGCAGAGTTGAATTTGTTATTGTGCACCTGTGATGATGTCCGATCGCTGACAGGTGAAAGAGAGTGTGGAGCCTCATCGCTCCTCCAACCAGAAATAAGAGAGCTGAGATTCATGATGGCAGACCAAAATCTGGGTGAACAGAGGAGCGAGGAGAAAATAAAGGCAAAGGAGAAGCACCTTGTGTCATTGTGGGCTTGACGCCATTAATCGCAGGACGGTGATAACGGAGCACACCTTCACGCCTCATCTGTACAACACAAAGACGGTTTATGTCTTCAGTAGGATGGAGTGAAAGGTGAGGAGATTAATGCCTAAAATAAATAGTGCATTTATCACCTTCAGTGCCTTGTGTTTTCAGCCTCTTTGTCCACCTGTTTTACTTGAAGGTGGACGGGTTAATGAAAACGGTGGTATCGTTTTATCAGAAAGAAAGTCCCAGAGGATCATTAAAGTAGAAATATTCAGCTCCTCCACGCCGGTAATGAGACAGCTGAGAGGCTCTGCTGAGCAATCCAGCCGCCTCACATTGTTGGTGTGCTTTCAGCCGTGTGTTGTCATCTTAAGGGAATTTCCAGAGAAAACACACAACCTGAGCGTTTGGACACAGACTGCCGTTAACGGACGGAAGCTCTCTAATTAGCGGCTGCTGGCAGCTCTTCTATTCGACAGCTATGTGTTCATTAGCTCTGCCTCCAGCATCCAGGGTAATTACATCACGTCTGTCTAAATAAACCCTGAGGCGTTACGGCCCCAAAGGTGCATTTTTAAAGGCTGATCACGCTGCTAATTGGCACTTAATGGAATTCTGGAGGTGAAGGACCTGAAGGAGATCAGGTTGTTTCTGCTTAAACCTGACTGGGGTCAAAGTCTGGAGCTAACTGTACTAACATTTTAGCGATGCAGCTCGAGGTAAGGTAAGCAGGAGGGGAAATATTTTAGACGTTTTCTTTTCCAACAACACAGCTCAAACCAAAAACAAGACTCAATTTGTGCTCTTCCACACCATCTTTTCATGTGACCACACTGAAAAAATGACCCTTTGCTCCAGTGTAAATTTGCTGTCCCCTCAAAATTCACACAGCCATTAATGTCTAAACCGCTGGCATCAAAAGTGAGGACACCCCTATGTGAAAATGTCCAAATTGGGCCCAAAGTGTCAATATTTTGTGAGGCCACCATTATTTTCCAGCGCTGCCTTAAACCTGTTGGGCATGGAGTTCACCAGAGCTTCACAGGTTGCCTCTGGAGTCCTCTTCCACTCCTCCATGACTCCCCTAACCCTACCCTCTTCTTACAGCCTCGGCCATCTTTATGTAGAGTAACCATTCCGATTTCCAGATCCTCAGAGAGTTCTTTGCCATGAGGTGCCATGTTGAACTTCCAGTCACCAGTATGAGGGAGTGTGAGAGCGACAACACCACATTTAACACACCTGCTCCCCATTCACACCTGAGACCCTGTAACACTAACGAGTCACATGACACTGGGGAGGGGAAATGGCTAATTGGGCCCAATTTGGACATTTGCACTTTTGTTGCGAGCGGTTTAGACATTAACGGCTGTGTGATGTGTTATTTTGAGGGGACAGCAGATTTACACTGTTGTACAAGTTGTACTCACTACTTTGTAGCAAAGTGTCATTCCTTTAGTGTTGTCACATGAAAAGATATGATCAAATATTTACAGAAATGTGAGGGGTGTACTTTTGTGAGATACTCTACCTTCACGCAGATTATTTTGGCAAAAATACAGTGCTCTGAGTTCCTGGATGGTGCACTCATGACGGTCAAAAGGTTGAGTGTGAAACACTGGACACTTCTCACCCTCAATGGTCGCCATCTTGGCTTACGTAGCTGAAGGGGAGGGAAGCTGCAGGAGTTGCTCTGGTGAACACCACACTATAAAAATCTAAATTATACATGTGAAGGAAGTTGACGATACTATGACGCAGGTTTCCCCAAGTCAGGATAGGGTCAATAAGTAAGCCGAAGGTGACGGTCAGGGACTCTCCAGATCTCTAGGTCAGACTCCGTCTCTGCCTGCTTGTCGACTGACTGACCCTGCTGCCTTGATAATGATGCCCTGTTTTCCAGTTGTTAGGTAAGCCAAGGTCGAGATGATCTTTGGTTTCATGACAGACAGACTGACTGGCTCTGTGTAGAAAGTGTTGCATCTGACTTGAATTGCACACAGCGTGCCACTGATTTTTACAGAGACTCTGCAGACTCTTCACACATGGATTGAGGGCTGAACAATAACAGTATCTGGAGACTTTGTGAATCTCTCTAGATCTACGAAGGATAAATATCCCCAGGTGGGAAGTATCCTTCAGAGTTGGTGTTGCAAGTGTTCACACGTATGCTGGCATTGTATGCTCAATAAACAATGCTATGTTGAGTCCTCAGAGAGGCGTTTTTATAGAGGAGACACGCCACTTAAAGAATCTTCAATACAACTCTATAGGGAAAACTCGTAACGCCAAAGATGGCGGTTATCCCACCCCTTCCGCGCGAAAGCCAATAGGCTGCCGAATCTTTTTCAGCTGTTTTTGTCAGATTTTCCAGCTGATTCAGTGCATGTAGTTTTTATGTGCCGGTGAAAGTGAAGTTATTATCCCTCCCCATTCATTCAGAGGGGGGCCTGGTCTTGTTAGTCTGAAATAACTGCCCGGGGGCGTTATCAAGATGGCTGCCGAGTGGCGGGACTTGCCTATAAGGACTTTGGTCTTAATCAGTCTCCAAAACTTCATCATCACACCTAAACCTGGCTCACAATATTTATTATTTTATTTTATTTTATTTTATTTATTTAACTGTTCGTGTGTTTTCTTTTCCATTAAGTACCACTATACTGTTATCGGAATGAAGTATCAGTCTGTTTACTGGGTTAATTTGGCGGCGCTGCTCTGTCTGGTTGCAATTCGCAATTAAAAAGAAGATGACAAAGGCGTCAAATGTTGCGATCCTCATTTCCAGTAGGCGCATGACAGCTGTGTTCGATCTGAGACGGCACTACCTTGTCAAAATTCACACACTACAGTAAGGACAAAAAGTACAGGCTTGATTAGAGGTGTAGTAGTGGAATTATCCGAATTGAGACACAGCATAAGAGTCTCTCAGTCCTCCTCGGACTGATTGAGCAGCTGAAGGAGAAACAGGACTTTGTGTCAGAAACCTGCCTCACGGGGACGTTTCACTTTTCACAACTCCAACCACAGAAATGTCTTCTTAAAAAGAGATTTAAATGATGTCACTGATCCTGCAGCTATTAGTTTATAAGGCTCTTCATGGTTTCTGGAAACGTCAGTGACTCTTTGTGCTGCTGTCCTGTAATCAGCTCTCAGATCTGACACCTTCACAATTCTGATAAAATGCATTTGTTTCTAAGCAAATCTAAATTCTACATGCTTGTAGAATTAATCACGAATAATGACTATTCATATCAATTTTTAAACACTCCTGTTTGAGAGGCAGGTAACCTGAAGTACAACACGTGAGAACGAGCTCGTCCTCTCTGCAGAATGTGTCTCTGCTGTTTTACCAGGAAGCGGCCGCCTACCTGTCTCCCGTCGATGGCTCCTTTCATCTCTTTGAACGTGGCCTCGAATTCCCCAATGTAGTCGTGTTTTCCGTTCGAGTCCCAGTCCCACACGGTGCACTGAGTGGACAAAAAAACAACAAACACCTCACTGAATGGTGACTGATGAGCTGCTGAGTTTCTCATTTTTCATTAACTGATGATCAGGTGTGCACACATTCTTTTGGCCAGATAGTTTGTAAATGGTGGACTGGCCTTCTCTAGCTGCACGTAGACGTTTGCATCTGTGTGTTTTTATGTACGAGGCAATCCTGTGCAAAGGACCCAGTTACCGTTGCAGCCTCCTTAAGTTAGAAAATCCCAAGGGTTGTTTCCAAGTCAAGAAAAACTGTCTCATCAGTTAGAGGTGCTGGTGGCACTTAGCGAGTTCAAGTCCCTGGTCGCAGACGTCCTGAAGGAGGTGTGTAGATGCTTGCTGTCGGCTGGATTATTTAAGTGTAGGTGTCTTGGAAGCTGTTTTAATGTGTTGTCATATGTGTGTCAGTGTAACTTGTAAATGCTGTTTTGCTGCCTTTCTTGGTCAGGTCTCCCTTAAAAGAGTTCTTATCCAAGTGGGCTTCTTCCTGGTTAAATAAAGTCAAGGCAGGTCTGTTTGTACAGCACATTTCAACAACTTAATCCAAAGTGCTTTATATAAAACTTAAACAACATAGGGAAATATAAAAAGACACAAAATAGAGTCAAATAGAAAATAAAAACGGGTTAATTTATCATGTAATCATCATTATCATTTGTTCACCCATAATTCAATCAATAATCAGGATTTTCACCCTCCATTGTTTTGCTCTTATTGAAAGATTTCCCACCTCTCACACCCGTCAAACCTGATCCTCTTCATCGTGCAATATTTTTTCCTCTTATTCCAATCCAGATTGTTTGTGCTACAATCTAAAAGCAGTCAGAACAGCGGACAAAAGCTTCCTTAGAAATCTTCTCAGCCCAGTTAAGACCTGCTCTTACTACTTCTGAGAGAAAAGAAACCAGCTGAATATTATAATATTCTTAGAAAAAAAATACCCTGAAAACAAGACAGTAAAAGTTTCAGTGTAAAGTATTACGCTTAAGTCTGAAATCTGATTTAATAAACAGTAATTGCCAGCGGTAAAAACAAAAGTCTTTATCTTTATTTTAAAAGAACTGAAAGTTTCAGCAAACCTGCAGTTTTCTGGGAGTTTGTTCCAGATAAATAGAGAATAAAAACTGGTTTAGTTTGGACTCCGGGGAAATTAAATAAATAAAAATTGTGCCTTCAGACTGATGTGAAAAAACTCAATCTTGTGTAAAAACTGATTTTGCATTTGTACAAACAAAATTGGAGGTTTTCCCATTGACCTCAGTTCATCTGCATCCACAGGCCATTGGAGATCTGGAGGCCGCTGATTGGCTGTAACTGACGGCGGTTTGTGTAAATGGAAAGTAGCGGTGAATCAATTCAGCCGGAGGATTCGAGGTAAAACACACACACACACACACACACACACACACACAGTATTAGTTCGACCTGAAACCAGCAGGGAGGACATGTTCAGATTTTAGCTTAAAGGAGTTAAAATCAACTACAAACTAACTGCAGCAGATGTTCTTTGTACTTTTTAAACATTTTTCTTTACATAAAAATAACAAGAATTTATCCTGAGAAAGGTGAAAAAACACAGAATCCAATAACTTTTGTCTTGTTGCAACGATAATAACAAATAAAATCAGCTTTTTGGATCTTGAAGGCTTCATACTTTAACACTAAGAAATTAGACTTTTTGCATAGTGAGTACTTCATATTTTACTGGTAATACTACTAATATGTACTTTTACACAAGTACAATTTCGTAGTGTATTTTTACACTGTGGTCTTATTACTTTTAACTAAAGAATCTGAGGATTTCTTCCACCACTGCAAAATACTATTTGACACTAAACAGGACGTTCAAAGGATGACGCAGGTTTTATTTCCCAGCATTTTCTTTATTAACTTCTGATTTAGCAGACGTGAAACGTCTCCTCTTCTGAATGAACCCTCTCTCTCTCCGAGACTTGCTGTTCATAAATGCTCTGTTTAATAATTCACCCATGTGTCCTTTTATAAACCCTTCTTAAAATGAAAATTCACGTTTGTTATGAAATAAAAATGAAGACATGTATTAACATAGTACTTGTGGCTGTAACTAAAGTCCTGCCGGACTCTCCATCCACTTGCCGAGTCCTCCCACTGGAACCAGTGGACAGCTTCTGTTGGCAGCACTGCGACCAGACTGAGCAACAGGAAGTGAATAAATCCCAGGAGGACTGAATGCAGGACAGTTTGACAGAGAAAACATGAAAAATAGATCTGAGGACACGAAGAAGAACGCTGACAGTCTCAGAGCGGGAGAGGAAGACCACGAGCTCATGAATTTCCAGATAACACACACACACACCTCATGCTCCACTTCTTCTTTCCAACAGTCTGGTGATTTTATGTTTTCATATATTCATGCAGGAGTTCCAGCGAGCAAGTGGGCCACTTTACTGTGTGTGTGATAAATCCTGAACTGTGAGGCAGAGAAGATCCATTTTTCTTTACCATATATAAATATCTGCTTTGTATTTTCCATATATTTCCATAAATTCTTAAAAGCAATGTGGAGAAGACGACACACCAACATATAAACTGACAGCGATGTCATGTCACGTGTAGGTGGCGCTGCAGCAACATGTTGAGAGACCACAGATTGATAATTTCACTCCTGAAAGGAGACTCGCGCTGAAAGGCTTGGACAAAACAAAATGGATTAAAATCGAAGCAGCAGAACCGGAGAGAACGTTTGTCAAAACCTGGTGCCTACATTACCCACAATGCAACACAACCATCGACATTACGGTCAGAGATTGGTGTTGTGCTATGCTAGTAGTGTCTAATGTCAGCCCGTTCTCATTCCCGGGCTGTCAGAGGGGTGGGGACATTTAGGAGGCTCAGATTAGGGGTGTGATGAAACGCTTAGTCCACAAGACGTGATAATGCACAATATTGGATTCACGAGAACAAGACGACAAGATACTCCAGTGCTATTTAGAAGAAGTATTCACTGATGAAATGGGTTATTCGATTGGGGCGTCTGAGGCTCCTCCCCCAGAAGGTTTTGAGCATTAAACTTAATTTTCTGCATGGTCTTAAATCTCGCGCCTGAGTGATTTGCAGGAACCTCTGTAAACACGCAGGTGGGTCCAGAGTATAACTGGATCAAAGCGGCCTGCTGACAGACATGTCCTGGTTTCTCTGTAGTGTCCGAGGGTTTTTGGAGTTTCAGTGGACCCAAAGATCGCTATGGACCTGAGTACAGACGAGCTAGAGAGAGCAGATTAAGTGTACTTCTCTGTTTGTTCTAAATTAAAGCTGATCCGATCGTTACTCAGCTGCGTTTCTTTCCTGAACTGTACTGGACATTTGAATGTTGATGCGTTCACTTCGCTCTGGAATAACATTTAACAAACGTGTCTGGACTGAGCCAGTCAGGTCAGTGAAATGTTGAGGGAAACAATTCACATTTTGTGTGTTTTGTTAGAATTACCGTGGGGGGGGGGGGCGTCTTACCCCATGTTACCCTATTGGGGAAGATGTCGGTCTGAGGAACGTTCTTAAAGTCTCAGCGTAGTCTCTTGGCCCCGCGGGGTCGCTCGACAGGGACACAAGCGCTCCGCGAGTAAACGGCAGGCGCTCTATGGAGAGGAACCATGGCAACGGCTTCTGTGCGCTACACAGCTGTAGCCTGTTTAACTTGAGTTAAAATGACAGGCCTTCATCTAGTTTTGCGGGGACGCTCTGCCGTGTGAATTCTTGCTGCTGAACACAGACTGTTTCTGCTGCTCCCTGAAAACAGATTTCTATCTGTTCACCTGCTGCTCAGCAGGAGCCTGTTCTGATCGTGTTACCTTTTATCTGGAGTCCAAACAGCTTTGGTTTAATATTTGATCACATTAATGTTTAAGTTGAGATTTACAAGAAATATTTTACTGCTGCTGTGTAAAGGAAATACTGCTGGGAAAAAGCTGTTATTACACTTCTGTGTATATAGCAGTACATTTAAATTAAAAGTGCACAATACTTTAGAATTCATTATTTAATTTAACACATAAATATGAGATAAATCGTGATTAAAATTTTAATCGATGCCCAGCACTAATTTAAATTTACCAAACCGAGTCCACAGACCCTCCCTGGTTTAATAAATGGAAGCTAGTTTACTGATAGGAAGCCTTGATAAGCAGACTCTTGTGGCTGGCTGCATGTTACTGGTTAACCTTCAGGCCACAGCAGCTCATCAGTCTAACCCCAGCAGTCGTCACGGTCACCGAGCTTCCAGCAGCAGCTAAATTCTATTAAAAGATGTATTTTATAGGATTGGATAAGAGAGAGTGATATGTGTGTGAGCAAAATGTGCAGATAGATGCAAGGTTACAATTACCATTTGTGCAAGTTAAGCACGTTTATTTGCCCTGGGTAATATACGTTTTGTTGCTGACTCTGTCCACAGCAGTACATTTTAATTAATTTTATTTATTCGATGAACCATATGAACTGAATTCACAAATACACCCACATGCTTACTGTTTTATATTTGTTTATTTTTTATTTATTAAATATATTTTATTTTAACACACACAAACGCACACTTTTACTGTTTTTATTTATTTTTATTTAATGAACTGTATGAATTGTTCTTGAGTATTATATTTTAAGCTTGGGCAACATTGGTAAAGCTGAACTGAATTGACTGAACCTTTGACTATTAGCAGTGAAGTAAATTGAACCTAATGTGTTGTTGGACGCTGGACCTCCTCCACGCCTGTTAGTAGTAGTAGTAAGATCATAGGTGAATCTCAACTCAACCTTGTAGGTCTTTATTCCAATCAGTTACAGCATAAGGCGAGTTTCATTATTGGAGACTGTTCCCACCCTTTACATGCTGAGTTTCAGCTCCTCCCCTCTGGATGTCGGTTTGCTGCCACTAGGTGTAGAACCAAACGATACAGGAATACTTTTGTTCCTGCTGCCATAGAATTAATGAATAAAAATAGCAGTAGATGACACTGTTTGTTATGTATAGCACCTTATGTGTTTTAGCCAGGGGGGGCGGGCGGGTAGGGAGGGTGGGGGTTAGGGGGTGGGGGTGTAGAGGCACACTGCCATGTTCCTTTTAGAAGTTTTAGGCTTTGGATATTTTATAATGTTCTATGCTTATTGTTTGTTTTGATGTTTTTATGTATGGATTGCCGAAAGTCTCCTGTCTGCACAAAAATTTTACCCTCGGGTACTAATAAAGACACCTTGACCTTGATTACTCCCTCTAACAGCATCAAGACAGTTTGTCTGTGAGGACACATTAATATCAGAGCAGCGTGACGGATGACAGCTAACGAGCAGCAGCGATAACAGACCTCAGTGTTAATGCAGCGTTCACAAACAGCAAACATGTACATAAAGTATAGTATCTGTTTCATTCAGCTAAATAATCAGTTATTAGTCTCATTTCAGGAGACTGTTATTTATCAGCTGACGTGTCTCCCCCTGTCTTACGCCCTGCTCTTTTACTCAGTGTTGTAGCATCGACCTGAAATCTAAAGTGTCCAAATGACCACGTTTCTGCAGCGGCTTCATTTTCCTTTATTTGTTCTCTGAGACAAAAGTCAGTTTGTAGAAACATGAGTTGTCTTTCTCAGTGTAGCCTACATCGTAATCACAGGTGTCATTTATACTGGGGACGCTGGGGAAACGTCTCAATCACTTTTTGAAAGCATTTGGCAAAAATGTTCTGAAAAATCTCAACAAGAAATGTTGACAAAATAAGAAAACATGCAAGGCGGTCTAAATATAGAGGAAACAAATGTGCATTGTCCAAAAAAGCAACTTAAGCTGAAACAAAAAAGAAACTACTCATTGCTGCATATTTTGAATTTAGTCTTTCCCTTTACATAAAAAAGATATTTCCACCATTAATTGGTGGGAAAAAAATTTCACCAGAAAGGAAGGAAGTTAAATGTTGAGTGCTCAAACTTTTCTGGAGGAAACACCAGATCCCTCACTCGTTTCTCTCAGCATTGAATAATTCAGTGTTTATTTAGTTTCTTTATTCATTTTGCGAGTTAGTTAATGTGCGAGATAATTTTCTGTTGAAAGTAGCATTAAAATATTTTCTCATCTTGTTCTTGTAAGCCCAATATTGAGCGCCGGCAGAATTTCTAACCAGCATGCCTTGTTTTAAGTCCAGCAAACGGTCATATCTCTCTGCGTCAACGCAGATACGAGAGAAGGCATCGGAGGAGATGGTCTGTACGACCCATGACCCAATTGAAGAAGGAGGAGGACGCGGAAATATGACGCTACCAAGCTGACCACAGCGCTTGCGTCACTGCGGCGTGTCGTTACACTTATCAGCGGGCTACGACGTAGAGCCTGGCGAAGGGTATGGCTTCTCTACAGCGCAGATAAATTAGATTTAAGCCTGCATCCATTTTTCACAAAATCCCACATGACGTCACCAGCGGGTGATGGCAGCGCCAGTTCCCGGGTTATTCTGGCTGCATTTCTGTGCAGTGGGAGGAAGTGGAGACGCGTCATCCGTCTTTATATCCAGTCTGTGGTTTCTATCGAGTGTTGATGGAGCCAATCGGAGACAAAACAACAGGTCTCCATCAAACCGTGAAGTCACCGCTGTTTATGAACAAATGAAACATAAAGCACTGATGAAACTAAACTATAATTAAGTTATAGTAATCAGAGTTGGCTGAAGATACTCGAAGCAGTTTCGTCTCTTGTCCCAGAGTCGTCTTCACTCTGTGTTCAGAGTTTCTGCTCTTCACCTCCTCCGGTTCTGCTGCTGATCATTTTACTGGAGGTCGCCGACCCTCAAACTTCATCTCTGTGCTGCTGACAGGGGGCCCGACCTGTGGCCCCCGGACTGATTGGAGGGTCAAAAACACCAGGAAATAACAAACAGGACGTGTGATGAATGTGTTCCTCCTCCATCACAACAGCACGCTGTCAGGTGAAAACCTCGTGTCTCCAACATGTTGAACAGCACATGGTCGAGCAGCAGCCACATTTCAGCAGGAAGGAAATTTGTTTCTGCTCTTGTGTAATTACACCAGACTTCAGCTCCAGATTAGGTGAATGCAATTGTACACAACATCTCTAGGAGTCAGTAGATTTCATCCCAGAACCTTTGTTTTTTTTTAGACTGACTGCAGATAAAAATCTACAGGTTTCAGTCACAGCTAAGATCCTCCTGCAAATGAGACACATTCTCTTTTCATTTTACTGTCGACAGTGTTGGGAAGGTTACTTTGGAAATGTTACAAGTTACCCAGTTTAAAATCTAATAGTAGTGTAACTATTTAATTACTTTATCAAAGCATAGTAACTTACTACATTTAAAGAGGTGGTTTTCTGCTCATTCTCAGGTTCCTCATCTTATTTAGAGGTTGTACCAGAACAGGTTTCCATGGTTATATTTTTGTCATACTGCACATTGCTGCAGCTCCTCTTTTCAGCCTGTGTTGAAGGCTTCGTTTTAGCTATGGAGTGATACATCTTGTCTCTAAATGATCTTTGTTGGGAGTTGCACATGCTCAGTTCCTAGTTAAGGACTACTAGCCAATCAGAAGCAGAGAAGGGCGGGTCGGCGAGAAGCCGGTAAACGGCTCGGGTTCAGCCGTCCGGACTGGAGCGAGAGTTTCAGAGCGGTGAGTTATTAATCTGTATCCATAAAGTTTTAACTGAGCTCTGTCTCTACATCACAGGAACAACTTTATGTCCACTGACTGCCTGGAGGGTAGCTAGTGTTTGGAAGGGAGAGGAGAGCTGTGTGCTGCAGCTCGCTGTTTCTGAGGGCGTGTCGGAGTCGCCGCTTGGCGAGCGTTATATGAGGCGCGTTTAGCTTTCATCCCTGTGACGTCACAGGGATGAAAGGGAAGCGGCTGGACTACAAACGAACTGTTTTCAGTTCAGAGCAGAGTTTTCTGTGGGAGATGGGAACTCACTTTGGGCTTTTTCACTTAGCAAACCTGTTACATGCACAAAAAAGGTTTATAACTCAATGAAGGAGAGGGGAAAAGCCAAAAAGCAGAATACCACCTCTTTAAGTCCTGTTTGATTACTTTTCTAAATGTCTAATGAATGTTTTCAGTTTTTAACCGTTTTCCAAAGAAAAATGGCAGACAGGCTGCAAATTCAAACAGGAGAACAGCATAAAACTTTACTGCTATTCCAGCTATGGCTGGAAACGGCAAAGGAAGACACTGTGCACATGAAAAACATGCAAATAACAAAATAAATATTAGTCAACATATAGCTGAGCTTTTTAACCCTCACACTTTCATAAGTAACTGTAAGTAACTAACAGATACATACAGTTACATTTATTTTGTGATTAAATTACGTAACTAAATTACATGTAACTCGTTACTGCCCAACACTGACCGTCTAACGGATCTCTCACCAACAGTGATGTGTTCACTTACTGAAAGTGCATTTGAATGTCTAATTCTCCTCTCCTGTCTTGTAATAGTGTTTATCCTCCTGTGACCTTTACATGATAAAGAAAACTTAATAAGAGTGAAAACTAAAACTTTCATCTCCATCCAGCAGACAGGAACAGCTTGACCTGCTGCTGCAGCCAATCAGACGGCTACATTTAGACTGGAGCCACAACATCAATCGACTGATACAAGAGACACAGAGTGTGTGTGCGTGTGTGCGTGTGTGCGTGTGTGTGTGCGTGTGTGTGTGTGTGCGTGTGTGTGTGTGTGTGTGTGTGTGTGTGTGTGTGTGTTCACCTGCAGCTTGCGCTCGTGGTCTCCGCTGCAGAGCGAGTTGAGAGAAACTTTGAAGGTTTTCCACACCGGGTTGAGATTGTTCATGACAGTCTGAGAGAGAAGATGAAACTCTTGATGATTTTCTTTCTTTACATCGTTCACAGATCATTGAAAATAACAAAGATGGCGGAGCACGTAGAGGTAATGACGCTCGTCTTCTTACGTCATTGTTGTGTGCAAACAGCTGAATACATGCTTATGCTTGTTTATTTAAAAGGTCAGGTGGTGGTGATGGAGCAGTGGATAAAACACATGCCTTTGGTGTGAGAGACCCGAGTTCAAATCCACTGTGAGACATTATTGTGTCCCTGAGCAAGACACTTAATCCCTCGTTGCTCCAGAGGCGTGCGACCTCTGACATGTGACAAAGCGTCAGCCATAGCGACTGTGTAAATGAACCAGATTTAGCCACACTGACTAATTTTCATCTGGAGTCCCCGGCACGTTGATGGTTTAAGAACGAAACATTAAAACACGGCATAAAGACGACATTAAAAAACAGATATATAATCATAAGCAGACAACACAGAAGCATGGATAAAACATTAGAGCACGACTTGCATCAGCACAGACAAAATCAGACGAGCACAAATAAAAAAATACATCAGTACAAGTACAAGAATAACAGAAGCACGACTGCAAATTATGATGACATATTTGTTTGTCCAGGAACCACCGTTTTAAAGGTGGTGAGAGAAGAAATGGTTCTTAGTTCTGTGGGTATGGTGTTCCAGGTACGTGCTGCTCAGCAGGAAAAGCCTGACTGTCCAAAGGAACTCATCCTATATGGAATTTTACAGTCACCTCTGGAAGGAGCGTCCTCGACCGAATCGTCTTTGATAAGTACGTTACACGCTGAAAGATTTTAGATCTGAAAGTTCACAGTAACTTTTGTTTGCATCGCTTTGTGTGAGACAGCTCTGGCAAATGACAAACCGGACCAGCTGAGCGCTGACTACAACGGAGCACGCGGGGGCGGAGCTAGACTCTCAGCACAGTGAGTCATTTATACCAAGTCCACATGACCCCGGACTCACTCCAAAAGTCCACTGAGTCTGTCTGCATCGCGGTTGCCGGAGCTGATCGCATCCTCACTAGTCAATGCTTGTGCTCACCAGAAGTGTCTCTCCGCTCCTCTCCGGAGAGAATACGATAATAAACACAGTTTAAACAGACATTAAGAAAACAATTTAACTGCGTAGCTACTTAATCATAGTAGAAGGTCAAAAAGCAAGCACTCATCACTAAATCAACAAAATCTAAACATGTCAGCAAAATCAGGCAGGAAAACGCTCTTATTCTGAAAAGCTCCCTGTGGGCTCTGCAGATCACGAAACGAAAGCGGGTCACAGAGAGCCGTGAAGAAGGTAGAAGAAGCACAAAAAGGACGTATTTAAAAACAAGTCGTTAACAAGTCGCAACTGAAAACACATGTGGGGCTCCTACCCAGCAGTGGCCCTGGGTTGGCTGCCCCCATGCACCCACGCTATCTCCGCTTATGGGGAGCGCGTCTCCTCATGCTGTTCCTACAGTCACTCACTGGCCGGCTGCTCGCCTGTTCCCGCGTCACAGGTCCATCTATCTTCTCAGTCACAAACGGCTTGCGGACCTCTCCGCTATACATCAACCTGCTCACGCAGTGAAAAACAAATCTATATTCTGATAACGTCAACTAGCGTCAAATCATCTCCACCGCCCCACCTGCTGAGACGCAGCCAGCAGACTCGCTGGTAGACTTTTGCATTATAATCATCTAAAGCCTGAAGCACGATCTGGCTCTGTTTGGGACTGTGAGCTGCACTTTATCGTAGCTGCAGAAGTTAACATGAGGATTTGTGCACTTGTCTCATTCACTACAGTCTGAATGGGAGCACAGAGTATAAGTCAGGTAGACTTTTAAAAAATATTATGAATTCTCATTAAATAATGAGGATTAGTCTTTTTTTTTTTTCTGGACATGTCAGAACACAGATCTGTGGGAGAGGTTCTGAATGTGCAGAAAGTTTTGAACATGAACAGAAAACCTGCTGAAACACAGGAGCTATTAAAGTCCAGGAGTTTCTAACTGAATTAAAATTAAATCATTTATCATCAAGGTAAAAAGATGCCCCAACAGATAACTTTTCAGTTTTGTTTTTAAATTTTTGCAAAATAAATTTTATTTATTTTATCAATTTATTATCATTTGTTATGTCAATAACAACTATGGAGGATAATAACAAAGTAAAACTACATTTTGATTTTGGGACACTTTACATTAACTTCAGCAAGGTTCAAATTGTTTTTCGGGACGGTTCCGGGACGGAGGTGAAAAAGGTTAGTCTGGAGCTCTGCCCTGGTGCCAACAGGAAGTAGTCATGTAGTAGTTCTACATAGGACGAAAACTGCATCGTACAAGTAGGATGATGATTGTCCACCTCAGCGAGGTCGGGATGAGCTCACAGCGTTGTGGTGTACTGCAGTTTACATGGCGTGTGTTTGTACCTCAGTTCTGTAGACCAGCTGCAGTGTGGCGTCGTCATTCAGCCTGTAGATCTCCAGAAATGGGTCGGATTTACTGAAAAAGTCCTGCAAACACACAGACAGAAGCTGATTTAAAACAAAAACAAACACTGCCTGAGACAAACAGAACACGCATTCAGACTAGATCTATTCTGGACATTTTTGGAAAGCTGGTGAGTGTCTTTATAGGACATGTTTAGAAAGTTCTCCTTTACGTGTGTGTGTGACGGAGCTCACTTACAGCCAGTCAGGACGAAATAAAAAATTAAGCGCTCATGCAGATTTTACGTGTTACAGTTTGTTTTTTATTTTTTTGTACCTTTTCTTGTCAAATTGTCTGTTTTTCAAACGATTGATGGCTGATTCAGTGGTTTATCCGTCTGGTTTGTTTAGTGGAAACTATAAGCGGCGACAGAGTTGCAGACACAAACAACACGTAAGCAACATTTCAGCACTGCACCTGCATTTTCTTGCATTCAAATTAGGTCATATTTCATCATGTGTGTTTAAAATATCATCTCGTCTCGTCAGCCCAATATTGTGCATCGTCTCGTGAGGTAAGTGTATCGTCACACCCCTAGTCGTTTATGTACAGATGTTCTGGCTGAAATTTCACTCAGTTCAGACATTTTCTGATTAGTAACCAGCGATTTATATTCTGTTTCTTCCAAAACTTGTTCATGACTGAATGTCTGTCTTCAGATGTGTCTGACCCACAGACATCTACAGTATTAAGAATAAATATAAAATGTGGTACTCATAACAAACATAATATTTCACTCAGTGTTTTAAACCTGAAGAGGAAAATCAGGGTTCAGGGTTCGTCTTTAGTTCAGACTCGCACACAGTCGTGTTTCCATCACTTCAGAGGATATTACATCGACTTACTTTCATGGAGGCTTACCTTCGTGCATGACGTCGACTACAGTGGACATGTATTTGGAAACCATTCTGAGCCCTTTAAGTTATAGCACCACGCCCCGACCACCGCCATACGTGGACACCCAGAGCATTGTCTACACTTCCATTTGATTATTATCTTTACATCTCTGTAGTTCTGATAAACTGCAGCATAAATTAAAAATGTAATAAGGAAGAGGAGACGCACCAAGTCCCTCAGCAACAACTGTAAAATCCTTTTTATTGTCAGAAAACTAGGCCGGTAAAAAAACTATTTTCCAACTGAATAAGATGTTAGAAATAAAGATTTTTATTATATATTTCTTGTACATTTTTGTTCTGACACTGAAAATCCATCTGTCCACATCTGTCCAGAGGACATCCTTATTTGTATGTTTTATTTAAAATAATGATATAATTTGCACTTTAATAAACTGTTTATTTGTCCTACTTACTTTGAGTAATTTTTTAAAAATATATATAATTTATTTGGACCTCTATTGAGTTCCATTGAATCACCTTTTATGGCGTTGATGCATTTAAAAATAAAATATACTGGGAATAAATTATAGGCATAGTTTAACACTTAAGTGTTTCCAAGTTAAAACAAACATAAAAAATATGACTTTGTGATTTAATATTTCTTGCATGAAAGCCTTAACCATAATCATCTAACCCAACCAAGTCTTCGCCTTAAAATTTAATAATATACGTTACGGGGCTTGCGGTTCGTCCCCATGTGGAAGGCGAGTCCCAACAATGTGACTGTGTTAACAGATCTAGGTCCCCACAACGTGAGTAATACATGTACACACACATACACAGCTGTTGTTACCTTGTCGTCCAGTTTTCTGGCGCTGAAGGAGAGCTCGATGTAGTCGTCATTCCCCGTCAGCTCCTCTGCTGTGATCTGCAAACACACACACACACACATAAATTTCCCTTTGATAAGAAGGACGGCGTCATTAAGTCGACAACAAACACCGAATATTTAGAACAAATGACACAACCTGCAAACTTTGAGAAGAAGATACTTTTTTGTCACATACACATTACGAAATTCATTCTCTGCATTTAACCCATCCCTCAAGGGAGCAGTGGGCAGCTGCTGCGAAGCGCCCGGGGACCAACTCCAGATCTATAGTAGTGTCTGGACAATGGCACTGACTGAAGAACATGTTTTTGATGGTGGGGGAATCCCGAAGCACCCGAAGCACCCGGAGGGGTGAACATGCAAACTCCACACAGAACCCGTGACCTTCTTGCTATGAGGCCACAGTGCTATCCACTGGACCACCATGCTGCCCAAAGCTGGAGAAGCTGGACTCTGGTCTGTACCATCCTGTCAGTCCAAACTCCTTCATATTCTGCTGGGTAGTTTAACCTGCAGCCTGGTCTACAAGATCATCATGTGTCCTGTGAGAACCTTGTATCTCTAAATAGTCAGAAAAACAGCCTGTTTCCAGCTTTTGTGATGATGCATTTTGCAGCTGATCCGAGGAGGGTTTATAGGGTTTATTCAGCTGAAGGAGGAAGAGGAGGGTTTTCTCAGAACATAAAGGAACTCTTCATCTGGCAGTTTCACTAACAACTGGAGATACAGGGTTTTCACTGGACAAGAAAGGGATGATTAACCTAATCTTTCTCACTCCCACCTGGTGTGTGGACTATACCATGGTTTTCGGGGGATAAAGCACGTTTGGCTGAAACTTGCAGAAGGGGGTCCATTAAGATCCACAAAATTCAGCGATGAGAGCTGTTTTCAAGCACCCCACTGCGAGCCTTGCTGTCAGTATCATTAACGGCAGAAAACCCCCTCTCAGGCTCAGATGAGGAGGTTTTTCTTATCTTTCAGGTTAAAGAGAGTTTATGATTTTGCTTCAGTGGCGATGACAAAAAACAGCATCCATGCTTCTTTCTTTACTAGAGTGAATTAGTGATGAATCACCCTCATGCATCAATCATTGCGTAATTTTACACATGATCCATGATGATAAAGATACTGAAATTCAGGGTAAATAATAGCTCATTGTAGGGCCAGGGTTCGTGTCTCACCTGCGGCCCTTTGCTGCATGTCGTCCAAGTCCACATTTTGTCTCTTGCAACTGCCCTATCCCAAATAAATGCACAAAAGCCCACAAAATATCTTCAAAATAAAAAAGAAATAGCTTACTGTCAATATTGTTAAGACCCCATTTGCACGTTTAGGGCTGCGCAGTCAAGTTAGCAAGAATAAATATGCAATTTCCGGTTAGATGTTTAAGAAATAACTAGGGCTTAACGTTGTGAAACGTCACAATTTGGTTAGGTTTAAGCACCAAAACTAGTACTTAGGTTTATGCTTCACTTTAAAATAACTTAACAGATTCTCATTTGCAGTGGCAACGGACCAAGATGAAGCAAAATTGTGCAGTACAGTTACACATTAAATACACAAAGTACAAAATGTGCAGTGGACAGTCAAATATGAATGCAGTAGAGAGTCATTTTGCTGTTTGTGCAAGGTGATGACTTTCCAGAGAGATAGGTTAGTTAGTTTTGGAGATGGGAACTCGAGTTTGAGACTCGGACTTGAGTCCGACTTAAATCGCACACAGAGTGACTTGAGACTCGACTTGAGACTCGTCCTCAAAAGACTTCAGACTTGATTTGGACTCGAGGTGCGGGACTCTTGGTGTTTAGTTTTAGGAAACGTCTGATGAGCTTGCTGTTATTCCCCTCCCTGCGTTACCCATAACCAGTGCTTGAAGTGGGGCGGTACGCCCTAGTACGCAGTACTGGCATCTCGACATTTTCTTGCGCACCGGGACTTCACCCAAGCTGCCGGTCCTACACTCTACCCCAGGTTCTCTGGGCGCTACATGACGCTCACCTGTTCCAGTTCTCACCTGCCTGCAAAAATCTGTCCGCGGAGACAGACGAGGGAAAAGAGCAGTTTGGTTGCCTTTCATGCCACTGTGTGCAGAAAGTAGCTTGTCAATGTCAGTTTTGGTGAACCGACCAATCACAGCCTGGATGGGGCTGGACATTTGAGAATATTGACGAGGTGTTGATAGGTGTTATTTACATTGGGGATGCTGGGGACAGGTCAGAATCAGAATGTTTCCATCAGCTTTTGTTAAAAATGTTCTGAAAAACAGCAAGTAGAAATGTTAAATAAAAAATGAAACAATGCACAATAAGAAAACATGCAGTGCAACTGAAATATAGAAGAAACAAATGTGCATTGTCCAAAAGCTGATTACTGAATTATATTCCTTTATATTTTGAATTGTCACCTGCCACATTAATTTTGTTTCCCTTCATATAAATAAAGACATTACCTCCATAAATTGTTGCAGATGATGTGTCCAGAATGCAGGAAATTAAGTGTTTAATGCTCAAAGCCGTTAATGTTGTTTACTAGTTTCACCTGCGCGGTCACACATGAGAGTGGACAACAAACAGTGGCAGCTGCTGTGTCATTCATCATAAACTTTGGCTTTAAAACTTATAACTTACTTACATACAACAAGACCCAAACAAAAAAAGCGCTGAACGCAACATAGGTTAGTAACCTGAGGTTAGTGAACATGTTTAGCTCAGCATTGGCCATCTAACGTTAGCTTGCTTATTGCTTTGCTTGCCTCTCTAGCTCAAAGACTTGACTTGGACTCTAGCTCAGAGACTCGACTTGGACTCTAGCTCAGAGACTCGACTTGGACTCTAGCTCAGAGACTTGAGACTTGACTTGGACTCTAGCTCAGAGACTCGCCTTTGACTCTAGCTCAGAGACTTGAGACTTGACTTGGACTCTAGCTCAGAGACTCGACTTGGACTCTAGCTCAGAGACTTGAGAGCATCTCTGGTTGGTATGCAGAAGTGGAATAGCAATAGTCAAAATAAAACTTAGGCAGACCTGTACATATGGTACAGTATCAAGGAGCTTAAAAAGATATTGCAACTGTGATAAGAGTGCAAATACACAACAGGGTGAGACAAAACGTGCAAAAACAATGTGCGAATGATGGAAGAAACACGTACAATTGATAAACTTGATGACGAAGTTCAGACTGTTCAAAATAAAGATGGTTCATCATCTGAGGAGCAGGAATGTGATCTTTAAACTTTGAGTTTTGTCCTGATGACGGCATTAGAGGACAGGTGGTCAGAGATGGCCAAGATTTATCCTCCATCACCACGAACGTGTGAACGAGGTTTCGGTAGTTTGTTGAACAGACTGATGAAGAGTTTAAAAGTTGGAGACACTTTATTAAAACGCTGCCTTCTTTCCCTGAAGCATCAACACGTTCACGTCTGACCGACAGGCGGCGTGATGGATGAGAGATATTGCACCGATTAACCAACCGACAGACACGAGGAGAAGCCTGCAGGCGTTTATATGACACGTAAATATATTCAGGTTGTTATCATGTAAACAGACCGGATGACCTGAGGGAGGAAAACACAAGGAGGCATTCATCTGCCGAGGATGGGAAATCTGAAGGGGGAAGAGGGGGATTCATAAAGGAGGGAGGAAGAACAACAAGAAGGATGAATACAAAGGAACAAAAGAAGGAAGAAGGAAAAGATTCATGTAAGGAAGGAAGAAGAAAGACAAAGACTGGGTGAGGGAAGAAGAGGAAGGAAGAAACAGAGTAGAAGTAGGTAAGGAGGAAACACAGGAAACGAAGGAAAGGAGGACGAAACAAAAAGGGAAAGAAGGAAGAATGTAGAGGAAGTTGTACAGAAACAAATAAAGGAATGAATAACCCTTACCCTAAAAGACGAAGGACGAAACAGAAAGCAACTTTGTTTTATCTTCAAACAACAAGTGGCAGTTGGACCAGGATCAGGACTCACTTCATGTCTAGGTCTGTCTCCTCCTTCACTTTCTATAAAACCCTCTCAGACTGTTTGAAGTTCAGTTCCTGCACCAAAATAATGAAGGAAAGAAAAACACGACTCGGCCTCGAGAGAGATAAGAAAGAAAACAGGAAGGACAGAGAGAGAGTTTAAAAAAGTTATGTAAAGGAAGTAAAGATGAAGAGAGAAACAGGGAAGACATGAATAAATTAAGAACTTAACAAAAGAAGATAAAGGAAAGAAGAAATGGGAAGGATGGATGATGAAAGAAGGAACAAAATAAGGAGGGCAGAATAAAAAAAGGAGGGAAGAAAGTAAAGAAATTAAAATAGAAAAGGAAAGAATAGGAGAGAAGAAAGGATGAAGGCGTAAAATGGAAATGTGGGACAGAAAGAAGAACAAAACAAAAAGAAAGAGACAAAGTATTTTTAAAAAGGGAGAAATAAGGAAATAAAAGCTTTGATTCGCTGTTTCAGAAATCCTTTCAAAGTAAATCCTCCTGAAGCGTGTCAGGTGTGCACAGAGGTGAAGAGAAACATCAGAGGGATTTTCCAGCGGTGAATTTTTGGATCAATGAGCAAATAAATCCTGGGACGGTCCAGCTGAGAGGATCAGAGTTACCAGAGCTAATTGGAAAACCAGCTTCCTGTCTGCAGACAACACAGAAGAGACACGAAGAAGAAGGAAGCCAAACAAAGACACGTTGGTGATCCCTCACTGGCTTCCCACTTGGTTTCTGACATGACTGAAAAGACTCTCAGTCACCCTGATCAGGAGGTTCAAATCCACGCTTTGATTTCAACTGTGGTGAACACCTGAGTGGGAGGAGGAGAGGAGGAAGACAGGAAGGAAAGGAGGAGGGAGGTTAGGGGTTAGGGAAAGGTGGAAGAGAGAAAGGACGGGGAGAAAGAGGGAAGGATGAAAGAAAAAAGAAACAAAGACAGAAAAACACAAGGAAGGAAGGAAGGAAGGAAGGAAGGAAAGGAAGGAGTGAAAGAAGGAAAGCGCGAGGGAAAGGAAAGGAAGGATGCATGGAGAGCAGGAAGAAAAGAAGGAAAGGAAGGAAGGAAAAGAAGGAAGAAAAGAGGGAAGGAAGGAAAAGGAAGTTATAAAAAGGAAAGGAAGGATGCATGAGAGCAGTAAGAAAGGAAGTAAAAAGGAAAGAAGGAAGGAAAAGGAAGTATGGAGAGCAGGAAGGAAACAAAGGAACGAAAGAAACTGGGAAAAAAAAGGAAATTTCTCCCGTTAGTTTCAACGTTGATGAACTTTGATCTGTCGACCAAAAACAAGCCGTCCTAACAGATCTGACCTCAGAGTGGACGGAGAGCCGGAGAGGCCAAAATGGAGGAAGCTCATCGGCTGTGTCTCACCATCGTCACAGTAAACCCTCTAACACTATGCGATGGACTCCCTTCACGCTGCCAGGAGACGAGTGTTCCTTCTCTTTCTGATGCGTTTGAAAATGAAAACCCGGTTCTGGTTCTGCAGAGGGATCAGAGAGGCTCACCGTGATGATGGCTTTTCCCACGGTGCCTCCTGGTCTGAGCAGAGCTTTGGACAGTTTCCTCTGAGAGATGATCTGCACAAACACAAAGAGTCCAGGTTAATAAAAAAACAAAATGTTTAAAGGACGTTAAAAAACCAGAAGCTAAAATATATCCACATCTCAAAAATCCACTAATCAAATACTTTAATCAAATTTGTATTATTGTGTCGTGCATGTTAATGTGCCCGGCCTGCACGAGCCAACACGACACCGTCAGGGTCAAAGTGCTGCGACTATGTTATCAGACAGCTGTAAAATACTCAGACCATCATCACTGACAAAAGCATTGACTGATCCTGGAGAAATCCTTTCTCAGGCCTCTGAGACAAACTGGAACACGTCTGAACGCCCAAACACTTCTCAGCAGACGTTAGCTTAACTTTCCACTTTACCCAAATCACACAGCTCGATCTGACCTGAATATTTCTGAATCAACCAACATCAACACCGCCTCCTTTGTGAACTGCCGTGACTGAAACTTCTTTAAACTAAATGTTGGAAAGACTAAAGAGCTGATTATCGACTTTAGGAGGAAGGAGGAGGTCGTCCAGTCCTTTAAATATCCTGGTGTTTGCCTCGCTGCGAAACTAAACTGGAAGAAGAACACAGTGTTTTCATGAAGGAACAGGCTATTCTTCCTGAGAAAACTCAGATCCTTTGATGTAAGCACAAACCGGAATTGTACTTTTAATAGAGGTAATGCTGGGCTCTGCTGGGGAGGAAACAGGATCTATAAGTTGATTAAAACAGCTGTCTCTGTGATTGGCCCTGTCCTACTGGAGGTCTTCATAGAAAAGAGAACGAGTGCCAAACTAAAGAAAGTCATGGATCTTGTAGATCGTCCACTCCACAGTGTCTTCAGACACTTGGTAGTTCCTTTAGTGGTCGACTGAAGACGCCCCAGTGTTCTGCTGACCGGCTCACAGGGTCAGCATTTTTTAAAGGTTCAGTGTGTAAGTTTTAGTGACATCTAGTGGTGAGGGTTGCAAATTGCAACCGGCAGCTCACGGTGCATTCAGGTGCTCCTCAGATGGTCCCATTACCAGAGTTGTGAATTCGTTCTTACGCCTTCAGGGTTTCATGTGCCCTTAAAGGCTTTGGGGCCGGTGTAACGTAAATTATTTATTTATTTATGACTAACTGGATTTAAAAAACGGGCCAACGATCGGCCCTTAAAGCATGGACAGTGGCCCACTGGGTAATTTTCTATACTGACATTGGGCTGGCCCAATCACATCTCTTATTAGCCCCCACCCCCCCTGCTCTCTGTTTCTTGCGTTGCGGGCCAAAAAACCATTGTTCAGACGGCTGCTGCCAAATGCGCGACAATAACAGATATATTTGCTGCCGGGGCTGCAGGAGCTTCAACATCAGCTGCAGGACCCTGCGTAGAGCAGCACAGGCACCTGAAGGAGTAAAGTGGCCCCTGCCAGGCAGAGGAGGAGGCGTGTCAGCGAAACAGAGGGACAAAGTGACCGTGATGGGTCGAGGGCGAGAGAGAGAGCAGGAGGAGAGAGGAGGTGAAGCGGAGAGCAGGGAGCAGCTCAGCCTGTAGGGAGGGAGGCTCATTCACTCTGGGGACATGCAGCCATGACTTTATGAAAACATTCGTTAAAAATGTTCTGAAAAATGAAAATGTTGATTAACAAATAAAAATGCTGTGAAAAAGGTTTATTTGCACAGTAAACCTGCAATGCAATCTAAATACAGAAGAAAACTCTGCGTTGTTCAAAAAAGTAACTTAAGTCTTTTCCACCATAAATTGGTGCAGAAAAATTTCCTGCATTCTGGAGACATTAAGTGTTTAATGCTAAAAATCTTCTGGGAGCCCCAGACCCCCATTTCATATATAAATATTTTTTCTAAATAGTAAGTCTATTAAAATATATTCTTGCCTTGTAGTCATGGACACCAAACTTACGTCTTACGTCTCAACCGATTTTGGTGGGGCACCTCGCCCCAAAAATGCCAGGGCCGATTTTTTGTCCCAGTCCAGCCCTGTCCTCTTTTAATATCTTTATGTAAACTAGACTACCCCCGGCAAAGTTTTTATTATTTTTATCTTCTTATATGTATTTGTACTCCGTATACTTCTTTATGTCCCATGAACACTTTATTTCTCTTTTTACAATAAAGATTTAAGGAGGAAAAAAGATTCTGCTTATTCCTACACCACATGAATGCACCATCAGTCACCGGCCGCTCCCCCCTAAAGAACTAAAGATCTTTAGCTCGGAGATAAATGTGACTCAGGGCTTCGACAGCTGTCACTGTTTACTTCACTTTACCACAATACTCGGTGTCGAGTCCCGGCAGCAGCAGCAGGAAGTGAACAGGAAGTGAACAGGAAGTGAACAGGAACTGTCGCTTCTTCCCAGGAAGTGGGAAATGATTAATTCCAGAGCACATTATTTTCACTTTGCAGGTTAAGTGCATTTTTTACACACCATGAGGAGACCTGAAAAGCCAGCTTCCTGTCTGATGGAGGCTTTAATGTCTGAGAGTCCCACCTGACTTTAGGGTTTGAGTTACATTTGGACGCCGTGTTTATGCTGCAGGCCTTAATGCTTATTCTGATTTATTTATTAATATTCATTTTTAGATTTTGAATTGTCACCTGCCTCCGGAATCATCTGTTTCCCTTTATGTAAATGAAGACATTTGCACTGTAAATATCTCCAGAATGCAGGAAACTGTGTTTATGCTCAAGGTTTCCCCACTTATATAATTCCGCATGGAATATTTCTTAAAAATAGTGTTAAAATATTTTCTCATTTTGTTCTCAAGTTAAAACCTACTTTGCAATAAATCAGATTGTGAGCTTGATGTTCTGGGTGATAAAGCCTGGCTGTTGTCTTGGAGCAGTCTCTCTACAGTACATGTAAAGTGTAATAATAAATCAGAGACTTATAGGAGGAGCCTACGCTGACTTGTCTTCTTCCCAACTCGTCACACACGGAGGCGTACTCAAGAGCCGCAGTCGTCAGTTTGTGACGCACTGGGGATCGCTTTACTGTCACAGTTCAGCGCAGTGGGGTGAAGGTAAATGACATTTAACAGAAAAGACTGAGTAGAGAGGTAGTTGAGGTGGACGGAGGGCCAGAACCCGGACTTTGAATCAGGAGACCGGGGTTCGTGTCCCGTGTGAAACAAAAATTCAACATTAAAAATTTTATTTAGGCAAGTTATGTAAGCGATGTTAGTTAACTTAAGTGTGACCTACTTGGTTATTTTAACCCAAACCTTAACCAAGTAGTTTCGTTACTTTAACAACGTGCAGTTTCAACATGGCGATGTGTCGAAACACTATTTTGAAAGTCTAACCGGATGTCGCATATTTGTTGTTGCTAGGCGCTGCTAAGTTGACCGCGGAGCCCTAAACGTCCATAAATGACGCAGAAGGGAGATTTGTGGAGTTTAAGGATTAACATCATTGTTTGTTTGTGCACATTTCTGTTATAATTCACCATTTTTGGGTAAATTGGGTGCAAAAATGAAAATGAACATGTTCTGCTCAAAAAGTCTTGTTTTATTAATATTCAAAGAAACAGGACGTATGTGATGGAATAAGGGACACATAAGGTGTAAGAAAAGCTAAGTAATGTTGAATATTTACATTATTAACACTTTGCAATATGTATATGTCCCTAACAGGGTGGAACAGTCCAGATCTGAACAATCCAGATGTATTATTATCATTTAATCTGAGCGCTGATGTCCCCACCACTGTTTTTAACACAAAGCAAAGCGCCTGTGCTTACGACCTGCTGGATTTCAGGTGGAAGAACGTGAATCTGTGAGCAGATGGTAGCGAGGACGAGGAGAAAGAGAGCCACATGTTTAATTCTTGCTTTTTGTGGAGCCTTTTCCATTCAGCGCCGCCTCTCTAGAGAGACGTCAGCGTCGCATGAACTCCGATCTGACCGTCCAGACTGAGGTCGCACAAAACCTCTGATACACATGAAACGCATGTGGAGGTGAGATCAGAGACCATGTGACTTTTCACTGTTCACAAAATCCGATCTGAGTCCTTCGGCCTGCAGTCTGAACACAACCTTAGTGTGTTTCCGTCCACCTGTTTAATATATAAAATAAAATAAACAGATGAGGAAACTGTTTCCTGTCCGAGTTTGTGGATGAACAGAAACAGACTTGATGAATAAACGCTCACAAGCAGCAGGTCCCATTTTGTTTGGCTGATTTTCTGGTAATTCAGCACATATTTCAGCTCTTGTTTGGACAGAAACTTGAATACTGAGGGTCCTCACAGGTTTACCCCCGGCTGGAAAACAACAACGTGACTAATTGGACTATGTTCTTCTCCGGTACGGGTCACACTGAGGTTTCTTGTTGTAATTTAGCGTCTCTGGAAGTTGCAGCTCCTGTTTGTGTCTCCACCCTCCTGCTGCTGTGAAACAAACTCCAACCTGCACCGTCAGCATGCTGGAGGAGAAGCCGGCTCCCTGCAGCACCGAGCCGAGGCCCGGCCCTCCCTGGCTCCTGCGTGCCAGCACTTTCAAGGGTTTCTTCCAGGCCTGTTAGCAGAAATCTCCAGCGCTCCGTCAGCCATCTGGCCGGCGGAGGAGCTGGCAGCAGATCCGAGCGACGCTGCTGGCAGAGACCAACACGAGGACATGAAGACGAGGAGGAAGAGGAGGCTTTTCCGGTCACCTGAGCTCATTGTTTCATCACAGACTGGGCTCCTCTTCTTCTGCTCTGCAGGATGAAACTCTTCCAACACGCTTTCAGGAAACTGAAAAACAGACGGCAGGAAATGCACAGCGTCGCTCCGCCGCCACGCGGCGGCTTCCTCGTGAGAAGCATTGACTTCAGTTTAGAACGAGGCCAAAGCAGATGGAGAATCTGTCCAACGATCCTGTTTCCTCCTCGCTGTTCAACTCTCCAAACACAGGACGACACAATAAGTATTTCTCATATTTCTTCTTTTGTTTTTGTCTCTTTATTCTCTAAACTCTGACGTTGAATGATTTTATGTGCCTGAAGCCACGATCCAAATATATATTCGCCAATATCATCTCATCCACAACATGTACATGAAAAACAAACAGCTCAAACTTATTTAATATGATTTAAAAAAACAAGATCTTGGAGTCTGATATTTTCTGTTTGTCTTCATGTCATCAAAGCCAAGGACGTCGCTTTGTGCTACAGTGGTGCTCACGTCAGGGCTGTGATGATACACCTAGGAAATGCAGAAACAAATGAGCGGGGGGGGGGGCGGTCCTCCCTCAGCAGCGTTAAACATTTCATTTCTGGAGACATTTTCTGCTCCAGTTTACGGTGGAGGTGTCTTGATTTATGTAAAGGGAAACAAAAAATTCAGCTGGCAGGTGACGATTCATACATCTGAAAATATAACAGAATATAATGCAGCAATCAGCTGATTGTTTCTTCCACATTTAAATTCCATTTTCTTATTGATTGATTTGTTAGCTACCTTTTCTGGTGCAAGCTATTTACAGAACAGTTTCAACGTCCCCACTGTGGATGACGCCTACGATCAAAGCTCCTGTTCAGACCCAAATAATCAGTGACTGTAAACTAACACAACCCGTTCTCTCTGCAAGTCGTCACATGTGGACGGTTGGTCAGGAGTATTTTTCCTGTTTTATTTTGAAAGTGTCCTTCCTTGTGTGTGCTGTCACCTGTGCTTCACAGTCTGCCTGGTTCTATATGTCTGCAGGTGCGTTTGACTTCATGCGGCGCCGATTTAACCTGATGCATGCTGGTCAGAAAATGTGTCCGACTTTCGCTGGAGCTGCAAAACATGTCACGTGACATTAAAACCTCGCAGGAGCAAGGCGGGCGAGTCAGGCCGCACCTTTCAGTCGTTGAGCTCGGCTCACAGTGAGCTCACGCAGGTAGAATGTTTTATTCGCCGCCTCTGCAGTCGCTCACGTTTGACTAACAAGTTGGCGAAAGTCAGCCGCGCTCAGTCCGTCGCCGTCAGTTTCCTGTGGACTCCTGGAACTTGTTGTAGATTTACGCCTCTCGTTTACAGATTTCAGACTGACACTCGCTCCAGATGTAACAAAGATCTACTCAGCGCATGTGTCTGCATTTTGGTCCGATTCCTTGCTTCATCGGCGTCACCATAACAGAACAAAGTGACCAAAATGGAGCCAGCGGACGTGAAGCGGTTTTAAGAATTTAAGAGATCGGGCCTCCACTTCCCAGAGGTTATGATCCACCGTGCGGGATTCCACCTCTTGGAGAAGGGTTAGACATGTTCCACCATGAACACACTCACTGTCGTTTATTCTGACTCCCACATTCACCGTCCTGCTGCCCCAAACACTCACTACAGCACCACGTGTGGATTCATCCGCCACCGAAAGTAGTCCCGAACAGAAGCTCTATTTCCTCCTGTTTGTCTGATTGCGAACACGAGATTTGATGATGCTGATAAATATGTAAATTAAAACCAGAGTTATGTTCGAGGTGATTGTTATGCAGCTTTTCTCTGCAACAACAACAACGTGTCCTTGTCCTAATACAGAAATATAACATGAATGCTAAATAAGCTCGTTAATTAGTCAAACTAACAGACGTTTTCTCTTCGTCTTCATGAAGTCTGTGAATGTTTCTGTGCTGTTGTGCAAATTATTATGCAGATGAGGTTGTTTTTATTTGTATTTTTTCTATCTATAAGAAAAAAACACTCCAGCTGCAGTTTGTGCTGCAGGCAGAGGAAGAATGAATGTTTTTGGTTTTCTGTCATCTTTGTGGATCAGCTTCAGTGATGAACCTCTGCAGAGAAAAAGAGAGAATCAAAATGCCAAATATACTTGAGCAGAGTGAGTGTGTATATTTTCAGTTTAGTATCTCTGTCTTCTGCGGCGCTCAGGCTGTGATGGAGCCTCTGATGTTGTTTTCATCTTCTAACTGCTGTCTGGTTATATTTCAACAATTAGTTTTTCATCAACTGAAGAAAAGGCAGAAAAGTAGATTCTCCCTGTTTTCTGGCTGCAGTTTATTTGTAAAGTTTAGATCAGTTGGGAGACGCTTCAGGACTTTTCCAGGGTTATAAATATCTCCAGCTCATTTATCTTTGAGTTTGTTCACTGCGGTGGATTCTGTTTCTGAGATATTTGTTGAGTCTGTGGAGACTAATTTCACACAAGAAGAAAATAAAAAGAGGCAAACAGCTTCTGTAGAGAGGAGGAAAACTACATTAAGTACATTTTTTGTCAAGTGTTTAATGAAATCTGTACAGAAGTGTTTCCCTCAAGACAAAACAAAAGCTCTCTGGCTTGTGTTCTCACTCCCAACTCGTCACATATGGACACCTGGTCAGACTCCTTGGCGTCGCTTTTTAACGCCCTGGGTAACGTTTAGTGTGGTTTTTGCACGTGTAGGGCTCCGCGGTCAAGTTAGTGAGAATATGCAATACGCGCAACATAATTAGACTTTCAAAATAAAACTCGAGGTAAACCCCTTGATGCCTGAATTTATTTACAATAATAGAAGTCCTTCGACCAAGTCCAGTTGCCTTTGACTTTAACTTTCTTTGAAAACTATGGCCTGGATGACAATAATAACAATAATATAAAGAAATTAATTATTTGTGTTTTGTGTCAAGTTGATGCTAAATTAAATTATGCAAATTAACGACAACAGGCATAAATGTTAATAAAAAAAGCGTGCAAAAGGTTCCTAGGTACGTATTGAATATGCACAAACGGGCATTGGGGGAATACATGCTCAGCAGTGGCTGCAGTCTGAAAGAAGCGATGTGATGCAAATTACAGTGGCTCTCCCTCACTACAGCAAAACCTTTTCCACCAAATCTAACTGTAGAAACATTTGTTTTAAATGTGCCTGGACGCACAGCAAAGAAATGAATCTACAAGTTAATGGATGAAAACTATCTGTGCAGGTTCAATGTTCAAACAGCATCCAAACTTAAACTCATGGAGTTTGTGTTCCTCGCCTAAAAACTAAGCTAAACTAACACCCAGAATAAAGAGGACTAATTTGTGTGTGTATTCTAAAATACTGCACGTGTAATTGTAGTACCTGTTACGGGTGATCAACTAAGAAATATTGCGTGGATGACAACAGGTGCAAACACAGTGGAGGCGGCAGTATTTATGAGGGGTTTACGTGTTTTAATGGTTTCCGCCATGAGAGTCTGGAGGGAAAGCAGCCACTGCGTAAAAACCTTGGTTTGTTTCGTTCAGAGCGTCAGTATGTAGAAATCATCTGTACCTGCCCGTCCTGCCTGAGACTGCACTATGTACTTCAGACAGCACCCCTGAAAAACTGCTTTGGGAAACCCCAGCAGAAACAGATCCAGCCAGAGGGAACGACCACCGACCGTCCGCAGCGTGCCCGGTCGCTCCTCGACCTCCTGGCCCTGCCCTGTACGCCCCAACGCCCCATTTCCTCTCCGATACCTACAACAGGTTGTGTCGCTGATACAACCGGCGCGCTGTGAACAGCTGGTGATCGTTCCCTCTGGCTGGATGAATTTTACACACTGCTGCAGATGGCGCGCAACTTTCTGAACTCTTCCATCTTACGGAGAAAAGCAGGGGTCAAAACAAAATTTGCTTTCTTGGCATGAATGTTAAAACAACAGTTTTGCCAAAACTAAAGGAAAATACAAAAAAATCTATTCAATTCATATAGTTATTCGAATAAATAAAATACAATTATTGTATTTCTATATATTGGATACAGAATAATATTATCTAATATTGTTAATTTCTCTACGTCGTCTTCTCCATTGATAACAGCAGCCATCTCTGCACCTTCCTGTCAAACGTATTAAATACAGATGCTGTTGCACTCACGTGAAATTGCGTTTAGGCTCATTAGATCACACTGCGTGTAGTAAATAAATGTATTTGCATGTTACACCCCAAACTGCATATTCATTAAGGCAGAAGTAGTAAATGAACAGCTGCTATCTTGACCTTTTGAAAGACGCCGTTAGCAGATCAGCTTACGGGTTAATTTGCTGCTGATATCAAGTTTGCACACGTTTTTACTCACGCAGACCTTTAGTGTTCTGTCCTGTTACAGATAAAACAATTCAGAAACAGTTTCTTCATATCAGAACTGCATATTTAGATTTAAAAACTGGCCAGTGGTTCCCGTCCCGCCTGCTCCCTTTGACTTTTATTCCTGCACCATTTCCCGTGTTGAAGTGAAACTGACTCCCATCCTGCGGGAATCCCACAGGATTACCCTTAAACACAATCATTGGAAAAGGAGAAGTGGGTCAGTTTGTCTGAATTTATCGACTTTCGTTCGACTGAATGGGACGCCATCTTTGAATACGGTCTCCTAAGACCTCAATATAGCCAACACACCTGAGCTCCTGTCGAGAGGCGGGTTGGAAACATTACCATTAAACTCAAAAGCTGAAAGCCGGTACAGACACATCTCTGTCCGTCTGCAGCAGCACGATGGAGTCTTTAGCAGGTGAACATCAGGTGACTCACCTGTGCCAGCGTGCACTCCACTGATCCCAGGAAGTCGGCCTCCCTCAGGCCGTTGTGGTTGCTGTTGATGTCGTACAGCTCGAAGCGCAGACGCTGCACCTCTTCAAAATAAAAGTCCAAAGTGAAAACCTTGGAGTAGGTGGGGTTTACACAGCTGCGAATCACCTCCGTTCGATCCACCTGCGGGAGACACAGAGGACAGAACAACGGGATGAAATTTTCCACTTTGAAGAAACAGAAAGGAACTCAAACTTCAGACCCAGAGGTCTGGTTCCTGAATGGGTAGCTTCACACGACAGCAGTCCGAGACCTCCTCTTCGAGGCAGACCCGGTTCGAGTCCGGCGTTCACACCGACCCCAACAAACTGCACCGAGGGGGTAAACGCTCAAGGGTACCGATCAGCCGGACTGAGACTAGGAGACTGAATTAAAAACAGGACGGTCTTCTTTATTCCATCTGAGGCTGCTGCACAATATGAAACACAATGAAGATTCAAATCAGAAAATATCTGACCAACAAAGTAAAACTGCTGATCTGCCCTGACGGTATGCTGCTTAATACAAATCGGAAAGCTGGATATTAAGAATAATTTTTTTAAACCTGGGTCATATTTTCACATCTGTTGGTGTTGAAATGACTTGTAGGTAGCACTGCAAGAAGGTCGCAGGTTCAAACCCCGGCCTTTCTGTGTGGACTTTGCATGTTCTCCCCGTGTCTGCGTGGGTTTACCCCGGGTGCTCCGGTTTACCCCACCATCGAAAAGGTTCTCCGGTCTGCTGTTTTGACCTGAAACTGATAAACATCTGGAGTTGGTCCCCCAGCGCTGCACAGCAGCTGACCAATGCTCCCTTGAGGGACGGGTTAAATGCAGAGAAAGAGCCTCTTTCTGCCAGCGACGGGCTCAGACTGTTACACCAGAGCCCTGTTTCAGAAAGCAGGCGTAAACTCGGAGCTTCTCCCTGAGCTCTGCCTGAGCCTGAGCTGGGAATCGAACAGCTGATCAGAATCGGTTCAGTCAGCTCTGAGTATGTTGAGCCTGATTGAAGCGCGTGGGGATGAAAAAAAGCCTCATCAGTGGAGCTCAGACACAACGATTCACCATGGCAACGGGTAAATAAAGGCAGAACCTCCATTTTAATCGGGTGGAGCTCTGAAATATGAACGCTGCCAACGCGGACCCTGATAGGCTCTAAAACGCAGGAGTGGAAGAAGAATCAATGCGTTAACATTATTAGGCTGCTACACAGCGCGGCTCATTCATCATTTACCAGACTGGACTTTCTTTAATGAATGATAAAGTGCTGCAGCCCATTACATTTAAATAGGAAGGCTGTATTTATTAAGCTGGAAGCCGACGGGACTAAATGCCGGTTGGCAATCGGCTGCCTGATTATGAAAATAGGCACAGATCAAATATCAGACAGTTTAATCATGAACCTGTGATTGTAGAGTCACAGTCACACCCGGCAGGTTAGACTCTTAATTCTTTTTTGCAGTGGAAAATGTGTCTATAGGTTAAAGTTTTAGACGTCTATTTTACATTAATAAAATCTTTTATTCATGCAGTCAGAACACATTCAGACTGTCAGCAGCAATAATGAAAAACTCACATTTAAACCTTATTCAGGCCTGTTTGTTTTAGCGGCTCCACAGTCACATGATCTCCAGTTGATAACTGCGAATGTTCCAATCAGTGCGACTACAACATGAGATTACTGTTCACTGATCAGTTTTATAGGTTACAGATTAAACAGTGATTACTGCAGTAATGTGTGTGTGTGTGTGTGTGTGTGTATATACATAAAATAATGTTTTTATTTTTATTTCATTTTGACTTCAATGTCAGTTTAGTTTTAAGTATTTAACGTGTGTTTGCTAGTTTAGTTTAGTTTTTATTTTTTGAAAATGCTTAGTTTTTGCTTAGTTTTTATTAGTTTTAGTCTTTGTTGCTGCAGGATGCCAAGCTCAGTTCAGTTTACTCCAATTTAGTTTTGTCACCATTAGAAATAATGCAGATTTGTGAAAAGGGACACCGTTTTAAGCTATCTGAAGCTTGTAGGGCCACTAAGCATATATATATATATATATATATATATATATATATATATATATATATGTGTGTGTGTGTATATGTGTGTATATATATATATATACACCAAACCTAATTAGCGAGTCTAGACATTATTTTACATTTGGGGTATTGTTTGCTGTTTGACTTTCTCCCAGCTGTCCTTTAAATGTCGGCTGTCACTGGACTCCACCCTGACGAGATGTGGCCTTGCTGTGCTGGACCATCCTGGATTCTGCCTTCGCCTCTGAAAACAGATGTTTTGTGTGTTTGTGTGCGTGACACACGAGAACCCAACAAGTCCTGAAAGAAAAGTAAACCCTGTCCAGACGGGCCAGAAACTGATGACAGAGATCCAAATCAGCACCGAGCTGCTGAGAGGCTGCACGCGGTCGACCTGCTGTCCGACAGTCGCGGCCGACAGATGGTGTTCAGGCTGGAGCTCCTCGAGACCCTCTCATTAAAGTCGCTTTAATTGGACGGTTGAAGTTTGTCTGAATCAGCTGAAAGTGTGCGAGGAAACGTGACGTCCCGCTGACCCTGCTGGACGTCAGAGTCTGGCAGCTGAAAGCAGAAACTCCTCCTGCAGACTCACTCAGCGGTTTGGAATCACAGAACCTCACCCCCGCCTCGTCTCAGCGTGGACGTCACTTCACTGTGGGTCTAACTGGACTCGCTAATTAGGTTTGGTATATTTAAATCTTCCTTAACTTCTGGCAGAGCAACAGGCCCACATCTTTATAAGTTTTTAACTTCTAATTACATTCATTTTGCACAACGTACTGCACCTTAAATAACATTTAATAATACTAATTATTTATTTAATGTGTTTATGTCATTGTTTATTTCTTTTTTATTTATTTCATTTTTGAACATTTTTGGGTTCCATATAAATCAGATTTATTTTCCTGACAGACGATCTAATAAATTACGGTTCATTCTTGTTTATTATTGCATAAATAGACTTTTTTATATATATTTTTGTTGGGGGCTTTTTGTACCTTTATTTAGATAAGACAGTTGAAAGACAGGAAGGGGGGACGACATGCAGCGAAGCGCGAAGGGTCGGACTCGAACCCGGGGCCGCTGCAGCAAGGACTCAGCCTTGGTACTTTGTACAGGCGTACAGCGGTGAGTTACGGGCGCTACACACATACTCTTTTTTTGTTTCCAAACGTCCCGCCGTCTGTTCACGCCATCCCAGGACGTCACATATGGACGCTTGGTCCAGACCTCTTGGCGTTGCAACGTCCGGTTACATTAATTCATTTAGCGGACGCTTTTATTGCACCTACATGATGTGATAACAATTAAAGATTCATTTTTAAATGAGGAACATTTTTGGAGTTTTCAGCTGATTAAGAGCAAACCTCCTCAGTAACGAGCTCGTCTTTCTCTCTATCACACTGCTGTCTGCATCCCGGTGCGTTTTGTTTATCTGCTTTCTTTAGCAGCAGTGAGATCCTCCCTCCTGAGAATCATTAAGGTTTCACCTGATCACAAACGGACCGGGTCAGACTCTGCAGGCGGATCTGATCCTGACTGTCTGTCGTGGGCAGAAAAACCTGCAGTTGGCAGGTTTTCGGAGTCCACCTCGGTCTGAACTTCACTTTTTAACGAGTCTGAAGGGAGGAGAGACGACAGCGACGGGCGGATTCCTGCTGTCACCGCTTCACATTCAACAACAACAACAACAGGACTCTGGAGAAAACAGCTCGTTTAGCAGATCACAAAAAACACAGTGATTCCTCTGAAGAAAGTCGAGCTGCTGACAGACAAGAACAGACGCAAACACACTCAGAGAACGACAGTAGGAAGTTGTGTTCAAGGTAATTAGATCATTTCCCCGGATCTTAAAGCAGCACTTTTTAATGTTAAATATTAACAATCGATCGGATGATTACATGGTCAGATTTGAAAGCCAGGTTGGGAATTGTTTGCCAGGACACCGGGGAACTCGGGGCTCTTTACGATAAATGTGATGGGACCTTTAATGACCACAGTGAGTCAGGACCTCGGTTCGGTTTGACGTCTTATCCGAAGGACGAGATCTCCTACAGCGTCCCCATCGCTGCACCGGCTCATAAAGAAGTGGACGTAGTCATCGTGACGTCACCCGTTTGTGGACCGCCGTTTTGAAGCCTCGAGTTTGGCCGCCGCCATGTTTTGCAACCAGTTTTACCGTTATTTCTAATGGAGCCGGACTTCTTTCTGCAGAAGAGTCGCCCCCTGCTGGCCGTTTGATAGAATGCAGGTTTCAAGAACTTCTGCGTTCGACTCAGTTCTCTGACTGGAAGCTTCCCGCTTGGTTTGGCTTCATGCGGCGCTTTGCAGCGCTGACTTTACATGATGCATGCTGGTTACTCACCATGTCACATGACATTAAAATCTCGCAGGAGGAAAGGCGCCGAGTCCGGAACCACCTTTCGTCTGATCTTGTGCAATTCTCTTTGCAAATGCCGCGAGATCAGCTCACAGTAAGCTAACGCAGGTAGAATGTGTCTGACTTGACGGCGATGGTTTTTTATATCTCGCCCCTGCAGCTCACGTTAGACGAAAGTCTACCAGAGGGTAGACTGCCCCCTACTGGCCCACTAACTCCTCTACATAGTGGAGCATCCAGCAGCTAAAGAGCCTGATATTTTCCTCAGGAGCTGGTGGAGACCAAACACAGAGCTCACAGAGAGAGAGGCTCCCCAGCAGCCTCAGGACGCCGACTCAAGCAGACCAAACTAAATTACAAGCAAACAGAAAGATATTTTGAATACTGGAAAGAAACGACCAAAACACAAAGTAAATAAAAATGTCACTCTTGCAAATGTCCTCAGCTCAATTATTATTATTATGGTGTGTTATTTTAATAATTGTTCAGGAGAATATGTTACTGCTTCTCAAAAAGCAAGACAAAAAGAAAATGGAGTTAAAGCATGTGATTCACGCTTTTATCTCAACCCGTCTGGACTCCCACGATGCACTTTTCACTGATGTTAACCAATCCTCTCTCTTCAGTTAGTCTAAAACTCGGCTGCTCGTCTTTCAACTGGAACCTGCAAGCATGAACACATTGCACCAGTTCTGGCCTCGCTCCACTGGCTCCTGGTCCATTTTAAA